TCTTGTCTGAAGTTAAATACACCAAACCACAGACGAACATAAAGCATATTAATTTAATTAAATACGCTTTGATTAAATTTTCAACAATTAGTTCATAAGTGGTAAGGATAAAATAAATAAATGGATAAATGGATAAAAATAATGGATGTGGATATGGTATAAAATATTTAACCGTCGATGTATAAATCTATGATTAAATATATAAAAATGGTTAAAATAAACTCGAGAGTTGATACATGGATGAGCCCATATCAACTTTTATCAGATTAACCTGTTTTATTTGATCCTATTTCAATTGTATTGACCACTACTTTCGCTTGCGCATGAGCAATCTTATTTTCCTTGACATATAGTATTTTACAAGTACTCCTCCGATATGCCAATATATATAAAACAAAAATTTAGTTTTCCTTATCGACCTCAACTAAATAATGAGGAATCTATAATGATCTACTTAGAAGATGTTCTTGAAGTGCAATGTGTAATTAGTACTGAATATTGAGTTAAAATAGTCTGATGCATTAGAGTATTCAGTTCAGTAATCAATGAGCAAATAGTACTCAAGTGTGTTTTGTTCATCATTGTCGTTTGATGTGTGTAATAAATAAATTAATGTATTACTTCTCAGTAAAACCGTAATATACTCTCCTTAAATCGGTCAAATTTCCTTAAAATTGGCATTACACCTTGCTTGCCATTACCATAAGAGGAAAAAAATCTAATCAGTAATCAAATTAAACATCACCTTGAATAAATTTTATACGCTTCAAATATATTATGCTTTCATTGTTCTTTTCATAAGAAGTTCATAAATACTAAAGAATAAGAAGTCCATTCTGAGTATATTTAATATTGCAGTCAGTGCATGTATGAATATAATTTGAATTATAATAATTATATGTTTGAACAGGTAGATAAATTTAGGTATCTAGGTTCTACGATAACTATAAAAAACGAAATTGAAGAAGAGATTAAGGTTAGACTGAAGGCGCGGAATGCTTGTTATTTTTCTGTGACAAAACTACTTAGTTCGCGCCTCTTGTCCCGAAACTTAAAAATTAGAATCTATAAAACAATTATCTTGCCTACAGTCCTTTATGGATGCGAAACTTGGCCGCTTACATTAAGGGATGAGCAGCGTCTTAAGGTTTTTGAAAATAAAGTATTGCGTAGAATATTCGGACCGAAGAAGGATGAGTTAACCGGAGAGTTCAGACGGTTACACAACGCCGAATTGCGTGAGATGTATCCGGGTAATATAATTGAGGTAATTTCATCGCGGCGAATCAAATGGGCTTGTAAAGTTGTTGGGCTTAGTAACGAGAGAATTCCTAAAAGGTTAATATTTGCTGTGCCGAATGGTAAACGTCCGAGGGGAAGACCGAAGCGAAGGTGGGAAGATTGCATTAAAGCCGATCTGAAGGGACTGGGTTTGGACGGCGAACGGTGGAGGGAGGTGTGTAATAAGCGATTGGTGGTGTCGGCATCGAACCTTCGGGTTCGCTAAGCCTTATTATTATTATTATAATTATATGGTTGTAGAAGATACATTTTCCATAAAAGTTTTTTATTTATTTATAAGGTACATATATCTGTCAAAATACATTTGCTATATACAATAGTAATGAGAAAATATGATAATAAGGAATACATATGATGTCAAGGAGAACAGAACAGGAAAAAAAAAAACAAGCAAAAATATTACAAAAATGAACTAAAGAGAAAGAAAAAAAAAGTAAATAATATACAAACAGAAAAACATTATAACATAAAAATAATAATATTATAAGATAGCATTTCAAACTAGTAAGTCTCTTGGCCAGCGCCTCAGCAGTCTTCTGGGCGGATTATATGGATTTGTGGCAGTAGATAGAGCTTGAGTAAGTGGGTTTGAATTTAAAGTCAGTCTGTAATGAAAATTATTATTACGGGCTGTGGCAGTTCCTGTGATAAAAGGAGTGTCAGGGTCAATGTTTAACGTAAGCTTAGAAACATAAAAGAGGTCGTCTACAATTTTTCGGAGAACGTTTGACAGAAACGATGGGATTCTTTTTATCTTATATGTCTTTACTGTTCCACATAAGTGGATTCCATGTGTCCAAAGTGGCTTAATGAGTACTTTGTATACAGTTAATTTATTGGTCACGGATAATTTAGAACGTCTGTCAAGTAGCCTAGAAAGTAGTCTGTATCCGCTGATTATATTCATTTCTTTTTTGTTTAATGTGGTGTGCCTATGTCAGTCGTTTGTCCAAGTAGAGACCCAAATAAGGTACTGCATTTGAATTCGGTATAGCAAAGTTGTTAAGAAATACTTAAGGACAGGAGTCATGCTGAAGTGTAAATAAAACAAATTGGCTCTTGGACTCGTTCATTTTTAACCTCCATCTTTTAGCTCTGCAAGCTATGTCATCTAGGTGGTCTTGGAGTATCTGAGAAGCCTCAGCTGCATCTTTGTTGAATGTTAGTATTGCAGAGTCATCTGCGAATGTAGCCAACAGAGTTTCTGGATGCTGTGGGGCTATCTGAACAATACATATTGAAAAGTGTAGGACCCAAGACATTTCCCTGAAGTACTCCAGCTTTTATTTGCTCGATAGCAGAAAACTAAGTCCCCATTTTTACTCGGAAAAATCTATCTTTTAGTTATGACAATAAAATTAAATCTGTGGAATGGGCGTTTTTAATTTGCTTAACAAACCATCATGCCATATCCTATCAAAAGCCTGACTCATGTCTAGGAAAACTCCGGGACAATGCAATTTTGATTCCAGACTAAATCATAGCTGAATAGTGGAATGATGGTGAATTTTACTGGAAATTCGGGGATTACATCAAATAGTTTAAGTGAATTTAAACGCCGAAACGCCATAAAGTTTCTTTTGCAAGTAAAAGTTGGAGATTCTACAAGGAATCCCATGATTCCCTTTTGGTGCAACATTTTCGGAAAACATCAACTCAAACAGTTAAATAGATATTCGCGTTATAAAAATTAAATTATTAGCATTATAATTAATGTTTTATGAATTAACCAATTTTTATAAATATAATACTTAACACAAATTAGCTATGAATTCGCAAGAAATAATAATTATGTTAATAAAAGTTGTATTTCAGTAAACAAGTTATTATGAAAGAGTAACCAAGTACAAAACAGTTCTATGACAATGAATAATATTTAAGACAAGGATTATATAAGTATTTATATTTATGTATTTCCACGGGCGGATCTACGGAGGGAGGGCTTTGGGACTGAAGCCCCCCCCCCCAAAATGGTAAAATATAACCATGTTTTATCGAAAAAAATATTTAAAAAGTATCTCTTAAAGTATTATTGTTCGTGTAATTACATTTAAAAGGGCTTTAGGAATCACTTAAACACCATTTCATACAGGTAGTTAGTTTCTTTCTTTTTTTCCAAAGTAATTATCGTTATTTTTATGAAAAAAGAAAAAAACCACTTTCGGGCTGAAGCTCCCCCAAAAATTAAATCTTGGATCCGCTAGTGTGTATTTCTACTCGTAGTGAAAGGAAGACAACTGAATCCTTTAAGCCACAATACCACTTCATGGTCTTCGTATGAAACATTTGCCCTATTTAAATTCGAAATGCTCTATTTAATCCTTGGATGAGGAAGATAATGAGCCATCGATCGTCACAAATGACAATCTGAGGGTGCGACATGATGGCTGCACGCAGGCTGAGCTAGCGACCCAATTCCGTCAAATCTTCGAATTAAGCTAAATAATTCTGAATAAATAGATTCTACAAAGTAGGTTATTTCATAGTCTAAGTATTATTGATAAATCAAAACTTTATCAAAATAAACACATTTTTATTATACCGTCGGTACGAATTAAAGTTACGAATCATTACCTATTTAACATTGCACATTCGTTATTTTAACATGGTACCGACGATATGTTGTCATAACTAGCATCATGTAACATTAGAAAGAAAAAAAACTGATAACTGAATAATTTGTATTCACATATTGGAGATTTATTCATTTTCGGTCTGTTCATATAAAAAGAGTGCTCTGTTCGGTCTTCATATGTGTCATGTTGATTGTTTCTTTTCTGATGATATCGAAATAAAATCGCGAATTTTTCAGCAGAAATTGAATTTAAATGATAAACAAGTAGAAAATACTCAGATTAAATTTTTTAAGTAATATAAGTAAAAGCCTCATATTTACCAAAAATCGTTAGATCTGAACGGAGGTATGGTGGGGATGGGGGTGTGATCTGATCCCACAGTGAGTGACGTATGCCCTGGATACTGTCAAAGAGTCTCTTAGTCCTCCTTAAATACACATAAACATGCATTGAAAAAAACTAATAAAATACATTTTAAACTAGATGTTTTTATTTAAAAAGGACAGGATGAAATAAAAATGGATATTTCTAGGTTGGAAATATTTAAGATGGGAAACACTATTCTTACCTAAATATTATAATAAAAGCAATGGCAGCAGCTAGGCGTGACAGACCACGATAGCCGTGTCTTCACTCTCATGACGTAGCACCGTTCCCACCACTTTTCTTTAACACTAATTAGCTATGCAAATCTGAATCAGCAAAATTCAAGACTTTTTACATTTTTATTGTTTTAACCTAATCTTCGGTTTTTACACTGCGACTAATAAAATGGGTTTTTAACATTGTGGGACTTATTATCGAAAGAATGTTCACATTTTTAAGTTTTCCTATATTTTAGAAAATCAAGGTTTTGTATTTTTATTATTCCAATTATATCCTAGCATAGATATTATATATATTTATATATATATATGTATATATATATATATATATACATATATATATATATATATATATATATATATATATATATCTTTTAGAATTATTTCTCTTTTATATGAATTCTTTATTACATTCAGTACTGAAATCAATTTTTTTAAGTCATTATTTTTTTTTTCCCAAACCTCCAATTTGAATTATGTATGATGAGGCATATTACGTAGAATGATTTTATTACAGATGAAGAAATTGGGAGTGAACTCGGCATGGCGAAGTTCGTTCACACGGAAACATTCAAAAATCTAAATGTGGGTTTCGATATTGATGAGGGCAGCATCATGGACAATGAAGAATTCATTATTTTCAACAACGAAAGATGCAAGTGGTGTAAGTTTATTGTAATATTCTATTTCGATTTTTTTTTTTTTTTTAATTTTAAAATATATTCTATTTATATTTATTTTAATATTTAAAGTGCATCAATAACTAAAATTGAATATAGGATGTCATGAACCGATTGAACATTTATATATATATTTATTAATATTGACTTAAAGTTAATAAAACAGATTGTAAGTATATAGAAAAAAAACATGGACTTTTTCTGTTATAGCCCGTAATATGCTTAACCACTAACTCATTAATAAAAGGGTTCTGTATAAATTATGTAATATAAAGTATTACAATAAATATAAATATTCTGTATTTTTTTTTGTCTTCTCCTTCCTCACCTTTCGGCTTTACGAGATTTTTCCCGGGCCAGCGATGAAGGCGGGGGGATTAAAGTTAAAGCCTCACGGCACCGCAACACGAATTCTTAATTATTTTACTATATTAACATCGGTTAATCATGTCAATTAATAACTAAAATTGAAGACTTAATGTGAAATATTTTTTCTTCTTGGCTACTTAGTAGATGAGCAAATATGTTATAGATGATTCGATTGTCTGTAAGGCTTTGTTGTTGTTGTTTTTCTCAGACATTTTTATAAAATAATAACTTCTAAAATTTGATCGCTTTTCAAGGGATCGTGCTGCAGTCTGATGAGGTTCTAAACTGTAACCTAGTCACAAAAAAAGTCGTTCAAAATCATTTTTACAATTTTACACTTAAAACATATATAACTATAGTGCTATTCGTAATATGAAAATAAAAAATATGTAAACAAGTATCTATTGTATCACCATAGTAATCGCTATAATACATATGTAGCTACAAAACGAGGATCCGAAACTATCTATTTTTATATTCTATAATTTTTTACTCTAGAGGCTAGTAAAATAGTTTTGCACTAGTCATTGAGGTTTAGGAAAAATAAATCCTTATAAAATCTATTTAGCTAAATAAGCTGATATACCATCTCGCTCAAGTTAGGACCCGTATAACCTAACAAGGTATGCTGTTTAGTTAACTTTTCAGAGAATGAAGCAAATGAAACTTAACAGACCATAGTCAGTTATTATCCATTAAATTGATCCTATAAGTAAAAATTTAAAGTCTGATAAACTGAATGATAAATTTATAGCTTAATCATAGAAACTATCTGTTTAAACAAATCCGACACCTAGAACTTTACCTGAACAAAAGTCTAACTTGGAATCCTCATGCTAGACTAAATGGAACAAGAAACCGCTCGACGTTTCTGGCAACTTTAGCACTTACTAGACAAACGCTCTAAGCTTCTAGTTAATCACAAAAGACTCATATACATGACCGGAGTTAAACTTGAGGACTCCACTAAACCATCGAGTTCCTCTTGTATCCAATCCTTACAATCCAAAATCCACAGTGTTCCTTACTTTGTCACCAATAAAATCGTCCATAACGATCTAAATGTTCCGTATGTTTCCGATTTGATCCAATCCGGATATCTATCCTTCCATAATAAACCATCTGAATCTTCTCGATTCTAACCTTGCTTCCTCTTTGATCCCTAATAATCCTCCGAAGCTTCTGAAAAGAAGATAGTCTCGAGATCACCTAATTTAGAAATTTTATTATAGTGCTAGCTAGCAATGGGTAATTTTCTCTACAAATCTTTTCATGCCATTGCATTACTAGGTTAATTTTTATATAGTATCGTGTATTATCAGTTTTTATGTAGTATGTAAATATCATGAATAAAAAATAAAACAAAAACACGAATACTGCAGTTAATTTAATTTAATAATTAATATTTTATCTTTTAATTTTAGCGATTCGTATCCATTGTCCAGGACAATCCGGCCATGGGTCACTCCTCCTGGATAACACTGCGGGAGAGAAGGCTCGAATAGTAATTGACCATTTTATGGATCTTCGGAGTAAGGAGGCTGTGAAGCTGAAGGAACACACATTTTGCCTAGGAGACATCACAACAATAAATTTAACTTCATTGCAGGTTATGATTTGACTTCTATAAAAAGTTAATTAATAAAATTCTTTAAGTACAATATTTCGTTTCATGTACTTGCTATTTAATTTTATAGAATATCTTAACATAAAGAATAAATAATACAAAGTAATAATAGATAATAATAATTAAATAAATCAGGGATAATAATATGCTTTACTTTTCTTACATAACTTTATAGTTATTACTTTTCCCATATCCATCCTTGGACGTTGTAGTATAAATTATCTTTTTTTTTTTTAAGTCAATAAATATTATAATTATGATTTATTATTAGTAACAAGGTCAGGAACAAGCTATTCTCGGTAGGAAAGTTGGAAATTTATACTTATTGAAACTGATGCTTAGCGGTACAAATTCAGAGAACAAAGTGGCCTATCGTGCTGAAGTATTGTCCATTCCAACATTCTCGAGTCTAGCCGTGCCAAATTAAAATAGTTTTGGTTTTAAGGAAAAAAAAAAAAAAAAAAAAATGGTCCGAATTCTCCCATTATGGTTCTGAAAAAATACATTAAGGGTTAAGCTAAATAATTAACAATAGGACTTAGGAACGAAAGAATGTCCACATTTTTTAGTTTTCTTTCACCTATTGTTAATTCACTATATTTGATTTTAGTTTATACATATTTGCGATGCCAAATAATTCGTTTATGAAATTGTTGATTTATAATATTAATAATGAGACATAATTTTTATTTTATCAATAAAAAAAAAAAAAAGAAGAACAAAACCAAGAATCCAAAATAATTTCACCATTACTCAAATCCAAAAGAGAAATCGGCTAATGTTTATGAATAACTCATTTTTGATTTTAAGTAAAAGTAAAAGAATCGTAACGAGTGCCGGTATTTTTCTAATGTAGTGATTACAAATGAAAGAAATTCAGTAGGTAAGGAGAAAACAAAACGAATTTTCGTTTTGGAAGATTTCCTTTCGACAAATTGCAAACAAGAAAAAACAAACAGTTTTTTAAAGCAAATACTCAGATTTGTAGATTTCAATTTCATTTCTTTTCCCCTCACCTGCTCCTTAAAATATTTTATTTTTTGTTTATAGGGTGGAGTTGAAGATAACGTATTGCCACCAGAAATAGTTGTGGGATTTGATTTGAGGATAGCTGCAGATGTCGACCATAAAAAGATTGAAAATTGGATTAATGTAAGTGTGATAAAACATAATACTAATTATTATTGGCATTTTTAAGAGTAGTTTCCGAAAAAGCGAATAACTCCAATCACTGTGAAAGAATCATGCACCAATGCATGTATTTGGGTATGAGTAGATTTTTTTGAAATACTCTCTCGGTATATTGCAAGCGATCTGCAACATTTATATAAATTTTTTTTTATTGCACTATTTTTTATTTATTTTTATCATTTGCAATTCATTTTGTAGGATGTATGCAAAAAAGCAGGCGATGGTGTATATCCTGAGTTCACCCAGAAGGACCCTCAAGTCCCAGTTACACATCTGGAAGGAAATATATATTGGCAAGCGATGGACACCACTTTTAAAAATCTGTTAGTACTAGTTTACAATATGAACATACCATATTGTGCAGATGATCAGTACTATCTTTCTTTTTTATATAATTTTATGATTACTACTATTTTCATTTTAGTTATAAATTATTATTATTTTCTTTTTAATAATAGTTGTTATTACAATTATAAAATAACTCTAATATTATAGACCACTCATTCTCTATGCTTTTTTTTACTGATAAATAAGATCAAAATTAAAAAAAAAAAAAGTACTCAAAAGTTCTACATAACGTAATAAAGAATTAAAAAAAAATATATATTTGAAACTATTGAATTCAAATAATAATAATTTTTACGGTCAATGACAACTCTCATCCAAACAGCAGTAATATCAGGTCAATAATAATAAATTTCATTGATAGAATTTTGTGAATGTTGCTGACAAATACGGCCATATAGTATTTTAAAACTGACTTAATCTGATTTCATTTTTTAAATTCAAGATATAATTTATGCGTTAATTTTTTTTTATTGAAAATAAAAACCAGGAAAAGGATATAATTGTGTATGGTGTAGACGAGGGAGGAAAGTTTAAACTTTGTAGGTTAATTGTGGCGTTGAATTCATAACATGATGGGTTCCTATTAGTGTAATTTTCAGCTGTTGCTTTTAATATAATTAAAGAATAAATTAAAACCTGCTCTAAGTGTTATATTCCAGAATAGTTCACCCTTCATATTTCTCAAATATTATTTCAATGTATTAATTTCATTAATAATATTGCTCCCTAATGTTTTAAGTAATTATTAAAACTAATTATTAAAAAATATTATATAATCATAGAAGCATAAACATAAACTAAACTATTTAGATTAAAAATAATTCATTAAATCCGTGCAAAGTATCTCTCCCAAATAGGATCACTTGAGTTTCTTCCCTATTTTTATTCTTTTCATAATCACTTATATTTCAGGGTTTATAGATTGTCTTTTCAGAATAAAATCAACAGAAGAAGCCGTTTTTTGAAGTATAGTCTGCTCAAGAAAAAACGCTCTTCTAAGCGAAAGAAGTAGATGGAATAAGCTAAAATACATATTGGACCATTTTTCAAATAATTCAAATTCCATATATATTGGACAAGGTTTCAACTATCATGATGCCCGTAAATTTTATCAGATCAAATTAATGGAAGAGGATGTTTTGTCCATTTAAAAATAAATAAATAATCTCATATAACTATTGTATAAATATAACCTAATTTTTTATATGTTCTCTTTCTGCTAAATTTTAAAGCCAATATATTCCAAACATTAGTTACATTAATTTTAAATTTATCCAATTTCGGATTTCGAGTCAAATCGAATAAACCGTTTTTGGAATATAGGCGGTTTAAAGAAAATAAGTTCATGCTGCTGTTGTGGAAGTATGATATGAAAGAACTACTTGATCACCATTTTTTTCACTATTCGATAACTTCTGACCAGCTTTGGGCCAGATAATAAATGCATTTACGCATTTACGTGAGAGTAGTGTATGGAGTTTCATAAAATTGATAGGAACCTCAAACGTTCATGAGTGTCGCATTGTCGGTAGTAGGTCACAATCCATATTCCACTCTCAAGGATTTGACTGCAGACATAATGAGAAATAACCAAATCCATTCTTAGTCTTAAACTTGAAACACGAGTGAAAATTTTCGGTTCTTAGAATAAAAAATTTAATCTCTCCCACGAATACAAAGTTATATTTTCAAACGTTTATTTAAAATTCACCAACTTTTCGAAAAAAAAAAGTAATCTTGTTGATCATGGTTACAAAAAAAGTGAAGGAATCACAATGATTGCCGTTATTAGTCTAACATATGTATTTATAATAATAAAACATCTGGTTATGCCCTGATTTAAATTAATGTTATTGTTTATTTATATTTTAGTGGGATGAAGTGGAAAAGATTAAATTGCTTTGCTGCATCAGACGCAAGATTCGTGAGAGGGGTGAGTATAAACTGATTGATTATTAATTGCTGCCGAATGAATTTCGTGTTAGGACTATTAAATATATATAATTGTCATTCATAATATCTCATACTGATCTAATTCTCTTGATGTTTCATAAAAAATTACAACAACGGCTGAACGAGATTTTCGGAAAATCATTTGATGAACATCTGGGAACTGAGATCTTGCTGTAGTGCTTATAAGCAGAATACCAAGCATTCTTTACGTTACTCAGTTAAGGAAGTTTTATTATAAATAATATGCCACATAATGCAGAAATTAAACTGATCCCAACCACCAAGGCCGCCAGGAATGTCAGTTAATTTTGTCATGTGGTCTCCATGAAATACCTTTTAAAAATACAAAACTGTTTCGAAACGATGCCACTTCACAGATAATTAGGTGTGGTCACTTGGCTCCTAATGAGTTGCAAATGACAGCATAAAACAAGAAGGCTAACCATGTGTGAGATTAGACTTTTAAGACTTTTGAGAGTCACAATTTGACTGTATCCGGTCTTGGCAACTCACAAGACGATCAATGCGCCTGGTACATACATCTCAAACAAGGCCTCGTAAAGAGTGTTGTTGGAGTTTTTGATCTCAAGTTGGTTCTTGAACAGGTTAGCTTACCTTCTAGAAAAAGAAACTAGCTCTCATTGATGTTGTTGTTGTTGGCTTTTATTTCTTCTTTTTCTTCCTTCTCCTTGCCCTTAGGTATCTCTTTCCATGGCGCCTCCTTTCCCTAAAATCCTCTAAGGATTTCTAAGTGCCCAGATCAATCCATTTCTGGGATCTAGACTTTTGTTTGCGTATTACACTTCCAGTGTATCCCTCGATTACCCTCTGCAAATATCCTGTATAGTTTTTGGATTAGCTGATCTGACAAGCATCCCTCTCTTTCTAGCCAGTTCTCTCCTGAATACAGTAGGAGGACGTCCCATAGATTAAGAATGGTCGGCAAGCCAATACTAAAATGGGCTGAATGTGTCGCAGCGGAAGCTAGAAGCCTCAGAATCAGGAAATGGAAAATGGCAGCAATGGACAGAACCAAACCTCGAAGGCTTATTCAATAAGCCAAGAACCACCTCCGGTTTTAGTGTCTCATAGATAATTCCAAATATTAATACAAAGTGTTCAGCAATTGCATTCAGGAGTTTCTGTAAAAAAAAAAAAAATAATAATAATAAACTAAATGTAAATATGAGATAGGTACTTATTGAAATAAAAACAAAACAAAATAAAATGTAGAAATTAAATGGTCAAAGAAACGTTTTTTCTATTCTCTGGACAATATTGCCTAATAATTACGCTTCTAAAAAATAATAAATTTTGTATTATTATGTATTATTATTTTGCTTCTATTTATTTTATATTTTTGTACATGTAGAGTGAATGTTATCCTACTTCACTATAACTAATGTCTAAGTGACAGATTGTTGTAATACTCAATATAAAAAAAAAATAATAACTGTAGTATAACAAGTACCTTAATTTTTCTTTGTTCCAGGTTGGTATACCAGCTATAGGTTTCTCACCGTTCAACAACTCCAGCGTAAGATTACATGACCATAACGAATACTTAAACAAGGATATTTTTCTCAAAGGGATTTCAATTTATGAAAGACTTATTCCTAATGTAGCTAATGTATAAATAGATTCTGTAACTTTATTCAAATATTATAAGTAATCTTTGGTAAAATAAACGTCCTTTGTTATTTTCCTTATTTATCTTCCAAGTCTACAAATATTTAACCTGAAAGCTAATATCACATATATGTATAAGGTAGCTGTTAGCAATGCAACTTGCCGCAGCCGTTGATGACCCTGATGTTTTACGCCTTAAAACTCCAACAAACAAACAAACATGAAACTCGCAAAATAATACAAATTTGGATTATACGTATTTGTTTTATACACATGATGGGTATATAATTCAAGTGCATCTAATTAAATTAATTAGATCCAGTATTTATTTCTAACAATAAAAAGCATAATCAACTATTAATAGAAACCTATTATTTTTTTATGTTTAGTCATAAAAAATCTATCCTATATCCTAGCTCCAGAACTCAAAGATGTTAAGGCGGTGTTTTTGTGATCCGAACGGAAATATGGAACGAATCAGGCTTTAAATAGATAAAATTAATTCTAAAACCTGATAACAAAATAAATTGAAATTAAACACATTAGGGAGCGCCATAGTATGTTTAGTGAGTCAGTCTAGACTACAATTCAGTATAGATAAAATGAGGATGATCAAAAAGGAAAGAAATTATGGTAACAGCTTTTTATTTCTTATTTTTAGGTTTAGTTTTTGTCGTATTTTTTCTGTAATTAAATAAATTTTGCCCCAAAATGATTTGTAAAATGAAATAATGTTTTTGGTTTTAAAAAGTTTTTTTATATTATTACATTATAAAGGAGTTGTTGAATTACAGGATGAAGTTTTTGATAAAACTTCCCCCGTTTTTTATAAGAGATATTTTGTGGAATTTCGGAATAAAAATAAAAATAAAACAAAACATTTTATATTTAATAAAACAAGTACTACCGCAGAGTAGTATTCCGTATACATATATTTTATGAAATTTTTAGAAATAATGTTTTTATAGGAGGAACTTTTTTTTTTTGTTTTTAAAAAAGAACAAGAATTGTCGAAAATGGAGCCAAAACGTTAAAAAATAATAATGTTTAAATGTTAGTAAAAATATTTTAAAAGTATAATAAAAAACTGTGAGATTAAAAAGGGTTTTGATTAATAAATTATCATACGATTAAACAATGTGTGTTTACTTCTAATCAATATTTATTTTTTGACCATAGTTAATAAAAAAAAGTTTTTCAAATAAATACTTTACACAATTATTAACGTTAATTTTAATGATTTTGTATTCAATAGTCAATAATTTTTGTTATTAATGTATGACTGCATTAGCAATTTATGGAAAAAAAATATACAGTTCATCGTTCAGCTGCATCAATTTTTCACAGTGTGGGTTGGAGTGACTAGAGTTTGACATTACATGGTGAAGTTATAGACGGATGGTATCCCAGCCACTCCGCATCACTCCAAAATATCGAAGCAGAATTTTTAAATACAGTCGTTACATATTCCATTTTTAGTGGTACAAGTTATTTTCTCTGTGACTTATATACCAAGTTATTTTCCAGAATATAACCATATGGCAGATAGTAATGAAGAAAGGCACTGATTACAGATTTTATACAATTATCTGAAGGATTAGTTATTATCCTAGATAATTCTCAATGATTACAGGTTAACCGTGATAACTTACCTCGGTTATCATCACCCGTTTCTTTGATAACAATAAAATGACTAATCACCTATAAAAAGAAGTTCACATAATGTAGTCTTACGATACTTCGGTGCATGGGATATTTTTTTTTATTACAAAATTATTGTTTCAATCTGTGGTATAAGTATAATTGGTTTTCTTTAGAATCTAATCCAGATATGGCAGCATACAGCTGTCTAAGAGAAAAACAATTTTGTCTTATATCTTCATTAATATGCCTTAAAGTACAACAATGTGCTGTATTTATAATAACTGCCTCGCCTGGTTTGGAGATTTCATCTATTACCATGTATTTTGTTTTGGCCTTGGTTTGGAAAAAAAAACAAAAAAGACTTTACTAATAATAGCCATGAAGGGCCTTGGGTTCAATACTTGTATCCCGACCCCTGGATCGAGCCACGGCTGTAGAGAGCGAACAAATAACTATCTGCCATCAGGTGGATTAGAATCTAGGACCATGAGCTTATAAAGTCAGTGCCTTGTCCACTGAGCTAACCTTCTCCGATTTATATTATTTTTTTTATTTATTTATGTGATATTTACAACTGTATTAAAAAAATACGTCCAGTAAATTCGCACATGGATATAATGACATGAAACACATGTTGAGAAACTACCCATTGGTAGCACTCTAATAATATGTCTATATTAGGAGATCACGTGGCCATCTTCTTTTCAGACGCCTCGGAGGGTTATCAGGAATTGAATAGGAGGCAAGGTTAGAAACAAGAGGGTTGGGATGGTTATGACGTTTATTATGGAAGGAAAGCTATCTGGATTTCGCCAAATCTGATACATAAGGAACATTAAGGTCATTATGGATGATTTTATTTGTAACAAACTAAGGAGCATTGAGGATTTTACGAAGGATTTTGGATTGTAAGGATTGGATACGAGAGGAATTTGAAGGTTTGGTGGAGCCCCATAGCTCAGTTCCGTAAGTCCAAATAGGGTTTATTATAGTCATGTAAATGAGTCTTTTTTAATTAATTGGAAGGTTAGATCGTTTGTCTAGTAAGTGTTGAAGTAGTCGGAAACATCAAGCAGTTTCTTAACAGTATAACTAGTGTTGCCCAAAATCGGTCTTGCAAAGTGCAAGACCAAGGCCGCCTAACTGTTGCAAGACCAAGACTAGGACTCGTAAAAAAATCGATTTTTATAATAAAAATTATGGCAAAATAGTTACTACTTGACAATCTTAGTTACTATATGTTAATGATTGGTATAACCAATATACTTTTGCATTTAACTCCTCTACTTTTTCATTCGGGCTTAATTAGGTTTCTTCAATCTAAAAAATCACAGTAATATCTCTATAGTGATAAGCTAATAAGTAATTGCAAGACTGTTGCGAGACTTTTCCGCAAGATCAAGACTGAGTTCACAAGAAGAAGACTCGTCTCGGTCTCGCATTTGGGCAACACTAAATTTTACTACTTGACGTAATTCGAGAAAATGAATACCTATACATTTTATTTTCCTTTCAAGTTTAGTATGTTCTGCTGAATTGGGTTTCTTTCCCTGAACAATCAACCCAAATAATTTCTCAAGGAACAAATTTTTAAACCCAATACAAAAAATATGATGTACATGTGACTTTTTTTTTTAATTTAAGAAATGTCTTTCGATATCTTTTTCTCTTTTTTCTTCAAGATTTTGTTACAATAAGTCACTTGCAGAATAACTAGAAATGTAATTTTTTTATCCAATAAAAAACCATGAAACCCTTAATAAAAAAATCTAATATTTCATGAAGCCTTTCAGTTTGTTAAATATGTCAACATTTCTGAAAATAAAGAAAGATTACGATTAAGTAAAGAATGAAAACATGAAAGGAATAACAAACAAATATATCCCTTTATTTATTTTAATGTATCCCGTTATTTCCTTGATTTTTTTTTTGTTGTTGTTTTGAGAGAGATTACATTGAATATGCATGACGGTGATGAATATAAATAATTTAATAATAATATACTTATTACTTTTATCTCAACTATCCACCTTAAGGGCAAAGAAAAATGATTTTAAATAGATATATGATGTTTTGAAATTTGTGTCCTATTCCGGTGTTTTTAATCATCGCTGATTTTTTCATAAGAAAAATAAAAAATCAGATTATATATGTGTGTATACAAACATTATATATATATATATATGTCTCTGTGTGTGTATTTAGCCACCGTTTCTTACGTTTTGTTAAAATTTCAACAGACGAGTAATTCTTTATAATAATATGATGACCAGAGGTGCTTTCCCCCTCCATCTCAAGGCCGATAGTCCACGAACCACTCCCAAGATATTTTATTTCTCTCTTTTTACAAACAGTAAAAGTGAATTTAGAATTTTAAAAAATCGTGGATCATATACAACTCCACTTTCTGCGTTCTGATCTCTGTTTTCCTATTGTGTCCTGGTTTGAAAAATTTCTTTCCAGAAATTCATAACCCCGTCGAAATATGCCCCCTCAAAATTTCAAAATCCCGTCGAAATGTACCTTTTGTTGCGCCATCAAACCCCCTACTGGACACCCCTGATGATGACAGTGTTGATAACAATATTTGGTAGGAACTTAATTTGTTTTTCAAAACCTTTAAAAGATTATTTAGTTTTAATTGTTTTTATTTTTATAAGCATTAATTAATCATAAAATTAATAGTATCATTTTAAGACAAGCCTATTCAACTGTAAGGAAATCATTCCAGAATTTCTTATATAATCTACCGGTCAGTAATGCTTATGCAATGCTAGATTTAATAAGTGATGAACTTTCAGATAGAGAGCAGCACTTTTGATTGAACAAAAATTATGAAAACAGCCGACAAAACCCCAAACATCTAACGAACGTTCAACATGGTGGAAGATGTTGTTGATACCTTCCGTGAGTACTTAAGAATTCGGTCAGACCATCCAAAACCGGATTATGGTAAGAATTTATAATTTACTACTTTTTCGTCTTTCAGTATTAACACTTGAAATTTATAAACGCTTGATTGTAAAACTCTGATTTTTAAGATGGATGTGTTGATTTCGTGAAGAGGAAAGCAGATGAATATGGATTAAAGACACAAATTTACCGCCTCGATGAAAAAAGGCCTGGGCTTATTGTTACTCTTACGGGTTCAGAGCCAAGTCTTCCATCTATCTTGCTCAACTCGCATACAGATGTAGTCCCAGCGCTCGAAGTAAGCTCCAAATACATTTCATTATATCAATAAATAAAACATTTTTTATGATTAAACTAACTTGATAACTAAAGAACAGCTGGAACCTATTTTTATAGAAAATATATATATATATATATATATATATATATATATATATATATATATATATATATATATTGTTCAGAGTGGGAAAGTGAGTAATTAAGCGGATCGGAATTGCATTCCGAGACACTAATGACGTTCCGATTGTTCGTGTAAGGTACTGATTGAAGTACCGATGGACGTGTCTGGCGGATTTTAGAAAACCCGGAAATCATAGGTTCATTCATGAGAAGTGGAGGGGAGACTGAGGTAAAAGTAGTAACCTTACTACTAGATAGGTTAGTTTATCTAGGCCTCACAACCATCGTCGACTATTTTTTTTAAATAGTCAAGTGGACAATAAATTTTCAAAAAAGTGGAAACTTCACATTTATTAAAGAAAAAAAATAAGTTTTAACTGTTATGTATATTTGTCAGTACTTTTCCCATTTTTCTCAACAAATTTATTATTTTCACAATTCCTTAATTTTTGTAAGTAGTTGACTTATATTTTCTAACTTGGTTTAAACAATTTTCAGTCATTAGGAAGTAATTATTATACCGCCATTTTGCTTGCTCACTACTGTAGGTAGGGAAGCATTGTGTTCGTGTTAACAAAAATGTTGTGGTCAAAATCGAAAATTTCCACTCGCGTTTTACGTTTCAGACATCAGGATCAAATTAGATTCGGTGTCTCTGTTGGCCCGTCGGTTCGTCGGTAGTCAAATCGATGTGACGGGCATATCACCTACCACCGTCCATCCGATTTAGGAATTTTCATGAAATGCTCAGAGATTATGCGGCTTGCAGCCTAGATGGTCCCATATCAATTTTATCAAGTTCCATCCAGCACTTACGCACGCGCAAACGTATTTTTTTAGATATGCTAATATTTCAAAAAGGGCTCGTTCGACTTGGCTCAAAGTTAGATAAAAGGTAGATAATGGTGAAAAAATAACGTAATGTCAATTTTATTGAATTCTGTCCGCTAATTGCCCGTATATATGCGCAAAAGTGTTTTCCTTGATACGTCTATATCTCTAAAACCGCTGGTTCCATTTGACTCAAATATGGAGGGGAGGTTAGGGATTAATAAATAGATAACCAAGTAGGTATGAATTTCATCAAATTCTATCTACTTCTTCTAGAAAAAATACTTTCGCTTTTGGATCAGCAAACATATTATTTGGCAAGCCTATAGTTTGAAAACTGTGTGTTCAGTTTGACCCAAAATTGGAGGAAATTCGGAGAATAGTATAGAAATTTTCTAATACGAATTTCATTGAATTCCATTTCATCATTAAAATTAATATAAATAATTGTTTTTTTTTTTTTTTCTTACCCTCCAAAAAGTTTATTGAAACAATTACATATATAGTATACAATAATACAATATAAACATGTAATAAATTCCTTCCACTGCCCGAGGGCATTTTAAGGATTGGGGATAGCTAAAGGTTACATATGTGGCAGAAGGCCTTGTGACTTTGACATTGAACGGGGAAGGACCGTTCTGCTAATGTTTTATTATTTACAATATATACAAATTAATGAGTTTGGACCGCAGAGACCAGACCACATCCCTCGGCGAGTATGGCCACCAAAGGGAGTTAACCGTGCAACCTCCCAGGCCTGGGTGGTGGTGAGAGCTCATTGAACAGTGGGTTTGCACAGGCCTTCAGCCCATCAAAACATTTGATGTGCCTCCGGCCTATGAACTCAGGTACCGAGGGGAGCTGGAGCTCCTCGCGTATTGTTTGATTCTTAGCCCTTTGTAGGGTGGTGCCACGGACAATTCGCCGAAGGATAGAGTTCTGGAAGCCCTGTAGACTCGTAAGCGTGGATTTATATAGGTATCGCAGGAGAGGGGCCCCGTGGAGCAGTGTTGGTCTTATAACAGCTTTATAAATTTGGAGCTTGAGTCTCAGCGAGAGCTGCGGCGACGTCAGTAGGTGGTAGAGCCGGTGCGACTTCTTTCGTGCCAGCTTGATCCTCTGCCTAACGTGATTGGAGAAGGTCAAATGTCTATCTAGCGTGACGCCGAGGTAGACAATCGAGGTAGAAATTTTATGATAAACTCCTCCAACGGTGAATTGTGTGGGTAGATGCTTCTTTCCCTTCTGAAACGACATGACAATAGCATCAGTCTTCGCAGGATTCACTCTGATACCGATCTCTTCTAGCTCTTCAACAATTGTGGCTGAAGCATTCTGTGCCAGAGTGAGTGCAGTCTCCGCGTTGATGCTGGAAGCATATATGCCAATGTCGTCCGCATAGGCTGCTACCACCGCCTTTGGATGCTTGAGTGCCACCACTGGCGCCGTGAAAACGACGAACAGTATTGGCCCCAACACAGACCCTTGAGGTACTCCGCAGGTGGTATCGACTGGGTTTGAGTAGTCTGTACCAACTCGTACGACGAGAGATCTTCCGCTGAGGTAGCTTCGGATCAGTCGGCATAGAGTGGTAGGAAACCTGAACTCTTCCAGACGGCGAAGTATATGCGTGTGTGACACGCAGTCAAAGGCCTGACTGCAGTCCAAAGAGATGAGCGCCGTAGCTCTGTTGAGACTCATTTCATCTATTGTGTGGGCCTGAAGTTTAGCTAGGTGGTGTTCACACGCGACCCCTCTCTGGAAACCAGTCTGCTCTGGTGGTATGATGCTCTCTTTCCAGCAGTGCTTCATAAGCTGATGGTGGATTAGCCTCTCGAAAATCTTGCTGATGTGCGAGAGGAGGCTGATCGGACGATAGTGCTCAGCTGAGTCCCCGTTCTTCGCCGGCTTGAGTAACGGTACAACGATCGCTTGTTTCCATGCGGTAGGAAAGTATGAGATTCGAAGACATGAGTTGAATATGTTCAGTAGAAAGGCTTTACCATTCCTAGGGAGCATCTTCAACAGTACGTACGGAATCTCATCCAGTCCAGAATAATTGTTAACTATATAATGGCAGTGAAATATGAAAGGCGCCGATCATATGAAGTGGGAGTTAGGTTATGACGCTATTTTTATGGGGTTATAAAATTTTAGATTTTATTCAAAGAGTTAATTTATACTGTATTGTTTCCAAACGTTACTTATATTTAGTGCAATTTTCAATAAATTTAAATTAAATGAGTCTGTAAAAAAGAAAAATCTTATATATTATTTCTTATATATTATATCTACCTTTTCCGGCTCTTAAGAGAGATAGATTTAGACGAATGGTGTATCAATAGAAAGGGAATATTACGTAGAGTGCGCGTAGCAAGGGTTAAATTATGGATGGGTATTGATCATTATATTTAAAAACTGATAACTTACTAAATAAAAGTATTAAATCTTGGCATAGAAACATTACTAAAAGGAACTTATGCATTGAAATCTGATAAAAATATAAGGTTTCTGCGAAGTATTCGCATGGGTCAGCTAGTCTTATTTGTGATTGTGTTTATTTCTATTGAAGTTCAACCAGCTCGTCGTGATATCGAGTTTATGTCTGATTTTTACATATATTTTTATATTCAAGCTTAAATAGTTTTGTTCTGACTGCAGAAAATATTGGTCTCGTTAATTCTGAAAAAACAAAAAGTTTAGTTTTTCTTATTTCTCTTATGGAGTTTTTGTAACATCGATTTTACGAGTGAAAACATGCCGATTAAGTACATATTACAGCTGTAAGTGCAAAAGGTCTTAAGTATTCTGCTACGTTAAAAAATAGCAGAGGGCAATAAATTATGTTTATACTAATAACTCATAACGAAACAATCAGTTTTTATGTTTTCCTGTAAAACACTGAATGTTTAAATGTGACTTTTTGCACTAACAGTAGTGATATTCATGTTCAGTACGCACTCGATTTTTTTTTAATCCCGAATCATCAAATATGCAATCTGCATATGTGGAAATTTTTCGCATTTTAGTATTCGCTGATGAACAAAACTTGTGAATATCAAACCCGTATATGTTGAGGGATTACTGAATTTCCGAAAAAGACTTCTTCCACAGATTTTATTCTCATACAAAAAATTTTAAACCTTGTAATATTGATATTTTTTAGCCAATGCAAACGGTGAGGAAGCTATACCTACCTTTCTTCGCAGACGTTTTTCTCTTGATGTCCAATGCTATAAAGAACAATGTTCAAAAAAGTTTTTTAAATTAAACACATTATTATAAGTGGACAATCCAACAGATCCATGCTGTTATTTCAATGTCAACTGATCTTTTTAACTCATTAATATAATCAGGTGAGTAATGATTGAACGTTCATCATGATCAAAGCGACCCCGAACAATCCTTGTCAGTCTCGTGACTTTCATTCGCGAATGATCGTGTAAGGTCCGCTTAAAGCGGACAATTGTGATAGGTTATTATTTATTCTGTTACATTAGGCCGTGGTTATATTGGATCCGTCACGACACGATACGACGGTTCTACTATTCAGCTCAAAACCATAACCTATAAATCGCTTTCATTCATCTTTTAATGTTTACTATCCATTTAATTGTATTATGTGAACCCAATATACATAAAAAATAATAGTTAACTCCTTTAAGATTGTTTTATAATTAATAAGTATGAAATACGATATTATTTATTCGACACGTAATACAGTAGAAAATTACAATGATAGCTATTTTCATTTTATTTTTAGCAACTAATAATTATTGGTCGTTTAAATATCGAATACACTTTCATTATAGGGGAAAATAAGTTGTGACTTTTAATGGTCAATAGTACTTAAAATATTAAAATCAAAAATATCATAAAACATTGTTAATTTTATTTATTATATATTTTAAATTTAAAAAATAGAGATACAATATTTTTTTACTAAGCTCATCTTCACCTTCCTTCTATAATATAATTAAATATTATTTGGATTCTGCTTCTTACGTTAAGTTGTGTGTAATTATAACATATAGTTCATATCTAAAAAATTAAAAATCTCAATTTAACAAACAATATTTTATTTTAAATATAATTTATATTGTATATTTTAATCCATAATAATTAGATCATTGTTTAAAAATATCGAAATATTACCAGATTAGTTAAAAAGGTTGATTCACATTGTGTTTCTTCAGTCCCTATCTATCATAAATAAAATTATTCAAAACATTCTGTAAAAATATTTGTTTTTGTTTATTCATTAATTATATTTTTCCAGAATTCATTTTATTACTATTTTAATGAAATATATTAAATAATTTTGCAGGGGTTAATTAAATCTACACCTTTTGTTAACCAAAGGCCTTTTTTTTTTGTTCAATTTAGAATCCATGGTTTCAATATCTTTAAGTTATCGTTTATTTATTTTGCAATTTATTTCAGTAATTGTAGTCATGAATTGTAATTCACACATAACATTGTAAATATCACATTAAATTATTAATTTTAATCCATCACTATTGCATCAATTTTGAAATAAAAAAAGAAAAATTTTACTAAATGATTTAAGATATTAATTCACTAATTTATTTTTCATTATTTTCAGCTATTGCCAATAATGGAATTATCCAAACCATTCTGTAAAAAAAATTGTTTTTATCTGGCCATTAATTGCATTTTTTTGAAATTTATATTAAAATTATTTTAATGAAATATATTATAGAATCTGCTAGATAGAAGGGGAGTGGATAAGCACGACGTCGTCCAGATTTAAGTTTCGAAATCACACAAATACTACAACCAACTATGTTTACATATAAATTCCGTTTTATGATTTGATGTGTTTCGTCTGGAGAAGAATGTTCTTCTTGATAGGAGAAGTAAAAAGAGGTCGTGGGTGCATCAGTATATACATAGATGTGCAGGAGAGTTTTTAAAAACTTATCATTCCTTACTAAATCATCTAGACAAATTCAATAATTACTATAGTATGTCGATAGTAACCTTCGATTAAATACTTAAAGGCGTAAAGGACAATATATCAAGTCAATTTAACTTCAGGGAGTGCGTCAGCCCTGAAGAAAAATTTATTGTTGGTATGACGAAGGTGGCTATAATGGTAATAAGTTGTTAAGTAGAAGGAAATATGAGGTTGAAATAGTTTTTAAAACAATGGTTTGTTTAAAAAATTAAAACATACTTATTAAATAATATTAAAAATTTAAGGTGATAATATAGGGCTAAGTTTGTTGCATCGTACGTTTTCGGATCTTCCCTTATATTCTAGAAATAACTTATAAGTAATGCTAAAATTAGACACAGCCCTCACTAAAAGTAGTGTTAAAAACAATCATAAACCTGATTTTGATAAGAAAAAATAATAAATACTGCAGCAAATAATAGAATTAGAGAGTGATTGGAATTCATACGTGACCAAATATAAAATGCTTTTAATTTTAGATTTTTTATTAAACTTATAGTAATAAGCATAATTGTGATAATATATAAAATATGAGTTTTCTTTTTTCTTTTAAATATATTTTTTTGTATGAACTTTTTTTTATTGAGAGATATTACAATCTGTCACAAATAAGGACATTTATAATAGTGTTCAGAGAGCACATTCACCCTCTATCAACAATAAATAATACAGAAAAAACAATAATACTAAAAGTAAATGTATATAAACTAAAACAAACAAAAAGAAACTAAACTAATAAAAACAAATACTCACATACACGCACGCTTCTATACAATATCTAAAAAAAAAAAAAAATAAAAATCATTCACCCAAGATCTCCGAGCCAAACCTTTCTTTCCACTCGAGGGAGGAAAGGCAGGACTCTAGAAGATCCCAGCGCCTCTAAATCAGCCGCATTACTGGTATTAAGGACAAGTAGAGGCTGATCAGAGGGGCTATAATCACACATACATGGCTTGAGTGGAGAATCTGGCCACTGCCAAAACTCCAATGTATACTTATTCACAAAAGGTCTCTGGGCCACTGCCGCTTCAACCTTCGAGGAGGATTGTAGGGATGGCTGGTGCTGGATGGGGATTGTGCAAGGGGAATAGGAGTTTTAAATATTAAAAAAAATTATATGAAATTTAAAAAAAAGTATATTTTTAATGTTCAATTATATTTACTTACTATTTTTTTATTAAAAGTCGCTACATATTTTCATTTTCATTAATGAAATTTATTTTTATTATACTGGATTTTAATTAATTTTGGATGGTCTACCGAATAAATAATATTGAAATTAATATTTACTAATTGGAAAATATGAAAAAACAATTTTAATAAAATTAAACTATTATGAAGTACCTGTATTGGACAATGTTAAACATGAAATTATGAATGAATTAGAAATCCGATACGTGACGTTGCCATGTATGTCTATGTTTTTCGAACAGACAGTGCAGAAGCTCTTTTCCATCGTATCGTACGAATTACGTGTCCAATACAAGGCTAAGGCCGTGGTTCGGCTTTGGTGTCGAGAGACCCTCCTTGGGCACAACCAGCCTCTACAACGAGGGTATTATTAATTAACAAATATGTATAAATTATTATCGGAGCCAGCATTGAATTAATGTATTGTATGTAAGCATTACGTATGTAAGCCATTCCACTAGCGGATCCAGGATTTAATTTTGGGGGGCTTCAGCCCGAAAGCTTTTTTTTTTCATAAAAATAACGATAATTACTTTGGAAAATAAGAAAGAAACTAACTACTTATCTGAACTGGCGTTTAAGTGATTCTTAAAGCCCTTTTAAATGTAATTTTATGAACAATTATACTTTAAGAGATAATTTTTTAATATTTTTTTCGATAAAACATGGTTATATTTTACCATTTTGGGGAGGGGCTTCAGCCCGAAAGCTCCCCTCCCCCTCCGTAGATCCACCCGTGAGCCATTCTAATCTTTCAGCCAAGCAGGGGTTTCGTCGGTTCTCTATAGCGATCCCTTATTTATCCTTTAGTTAATTGTCGTAATCTTTAATAATTTATATTTGACCATTTTTTTTTATATCAATTTACAATATGAAATGAATAATTATTTCAAATAAAAAATATTATAGGTACTTCAGAGGATGAAATTTTGCAAATTAGGTATTTAAGCTCTGTTAGAGAACATTAATGAGAATAAAAACTACATTATATTAGAAACTGCTTAATTTTACACTGATATAATGAATAAAATCAAAATCATTAGAGCTGTTTTGAGAAAAGTTTAAAAATGTTTAAAATCGATGATATGAAGTGGCACTTCCGGTTAGCCGATTCTGACGAAAAAGTAGCTGTAACATCCCAGGACGTAAAAACCTTGAATAATTTCAGTTTCATACGACTTTTCGTTTTTCGTTCACACATAAACATACACACACTCAGAACATTTTGCAGGACTTGGTTTTTTTGACTCAGGGGACCTCACTCAAAACATGTATTTCCTTTGAAAATACAGATTCTAAAATGTTCATGATCACAATACTTCCCCTTACCATATATTATCTATATAGGTAAGTGAAGATAAAAATAAGGACTGCAATATGCTTCAAAGTCCAAGCACTTTATTTGCCGCTTGCCTTAGAAGAGAGAAAAACACTAATTATTTAATGTCTTCAATCGGTATGTAATAAATTTAATAAAGTTTTTAAAAATGATTAAAGACGGTAGCATTTATGAGAGAAAAATTAAATCATCATATTTATTTAACTAAACATGTTATTCAATCCATTCATTATATTCCAGGACCATTGGAATTACCATCCCTTTGGTGCAGAGATGGACCAGGAAGGAAACATCTATGGTAGAGGTGCACAGGATATGAAGTGCGTCACTATTGCCCAGTTGGAGGCATTGAGGAGAATAAAATTGTCAAAGGTTCAGTTGAAGCGAACAGTCCATATGACCTTAGTTCCAGGTAAATTAACTACTTTCATACAGGGCACATCTCCACCAATTATTAAAACATGAAGATTGGAAGGAAAATAGAGAATAACTTCTTAGTGGGAGCTCTTTCATTTTTTCCTCACCGACATCCTTGAAATCCAAGAATATCCCTTTATAATATTTTTTTAAATGTTTCTGAAATTTCAGTAAATAAAAATAAAACAAAAGACAGCTCAAGTCCTAATGCAATTCTCTGATAGTAGATGTATTGTTTTATTCCAAATAAAAACTTAATTTTACAATTAGGACATTAACTTCTTGTTATAGTTAAGAATCCTTTAAGATGCATAGAATTTCGAAGGTGCTTCTAGAGCATTCTGCAAATTTTTAGCCTCTTTGACATTGTATTCTCAGCACCCGTGCAACATTATTGTTACAAATAATCTCATTTCATTGATAAATTAAAATAATCACTGATGCTGAAAAAAAAAAAAAAAGTTTGAAGATAATACTTGAGTAATACAATTTTTCAACTGATAATTCTTGAAATATAATTCCATTCTTATTAATTATTTACCAAAAAAAAAAGCTTACTGTTCTCTTTAGATTTTTAATTGATAAACAAGGAAATTTCAAATTTCAGATGAAGAAATTGGAAGCCAGGAGGGAATGGCAAAATTTGTCCATACACAAACTTTCAAGAATTTAAATGTAGGTTTTGATATTGATGAAGGGTCTGCTAGTACAGATGAAGAATTCTTCATATTTGATAAAGAAAGGTGTAAATGGGGTGAGTAAAAAAAAAAAAAAGACTGTCAAAGTCTGAAGAATGTTAGATATAAACATGTATAGAGGGTACCTGAAGCATTGTGATCACATTGGAGAAGCATTTTAGGAGTGTTTTTACCAAGTAACAATTTGAAGATTACAGTTTTTAATAGTTTTTTTTTTTTTAATATTCTAGTTTTCAACTTCATTCAGGTAACATATTAACACAGTTAACCGGATACAGGACTCTATGTGGATCAGAGTTTTTGTGAATGTTGGTGCGTTGGTGAAAGTGTTGATCCATGATGATGTAGGATTTACTTATCCTAGTTTTGTTAATGTTATTCAATTTCGTAATTCTGTTTTTCAATATACTTATTAGAGAGGCCCTGGTCTCATTTTTTGTACCACAGCAGTGACACAACTTCTACTCTACTATATACCTGGATTAACTCCCATATGTCTCCTGGTGAGTCCTATTGTCCTCCCACTCTATCTTTCTTAAGACTGGAGAAAAGGCACATAGTTTTCACTATTTACCAACCATACCTACAGCCACTGTAATTGTGGATGGGGAGGGTACTACTCCATGGAAAAAAAGAATCAAAGTACCTCTCAATAAACCAGCAGTATGGTAATCTAAAGGATAAGCTTTGCCTTTTATCTTATTTTCGTAGAATAAAACTAAACCATTCTTTTTTCATTTTAGTTGTTCACTACCACACTAATGATAGGTATCTCTTTAGGAATATGATCTAAGTTTTTAAAAAAATACTCATTAGTAAAACAAGCTAAACTGTTTTCTTTTTTTTTGTTCCCTTGCAAATATTCAAAGGATTTTATTTTAAAATTCAAGAAAAGAGCTCCTGGTCATAAGGCATGAACCAGTCTCCCAGTGTTGTACAGTTGGTGTTGGCACTAATTTGGGAGTTTCTAAACAGTTTTTTTCACATATCAAAAATATTTGTTTCTGTAATTGCTCTATATTTGCATATAGAGCTACCCAATTGCCTTATGGGTTTCTTATTTTTTTCTATAATGTACTAATCATGTATTTTATAATAGTTGGTGCTTTAAAGTTGATATCTAAATTATAATTAAAAAAAAAAAAATATTTTCAATAAAACACAAAGGAAGTTCTATTCCCAAGAAGTGTAAATTGTTAACAAAATAAAAAATAAAAATCTTCATCCCCAGTTCTTGTCACTTCCCGTTCCATGAAAGTTATAAGACCTTGTGCCATATATGTTACCCTTACCTATCCCCAATCCTTAAAATTCCCTCGGGCAGTGGAAGGACTTTGTTATTTGTATATATTAGTATTGTTATACTTATATGTAATGTTATATGTAATTTATCTAATAAACGTTTTGGGGGGCTAGAAAAAGAACAAAAAAAAAAACCAATTCTTAAATTATTATTTCTGGAAGTGAAGCAGCCGGCCATTTTACAACTAAAGTATATTGAAGATTGTCGTGGATCTGGCTAAGGCTAGTTCATTTTTCAATGGCTTTTAATACTAGTAATACAGTTGAGAAAGTAGCATAGGGAACTCCTTGAGTTCTGCTTTTCTCTTCTCCTGGTGGAGGGACAAGCCTGGTTTGAAGTTCCCTTATAGTAAATATAGCTGATAGTAAATATTGTACTTAGGTACGACTGTGTTTTTAGAAAACTTATTTCATATTTATTCAACTTTAAATCTATCTTTTTTTATTACTATTTATTTATTTTTATTTTATTAAATTATATATATTTATTTCCGTTTTCAAATATTCATAAATTTAACCATTTACTTTTAATATGTTGTTAACATCTGACAACTTGTTTGATGAACAAGTCATCAATAGATTGGAGCCTTTTTAGGCCTTAATATGTGTAAAATTCTACTTGAAATGATTTTAAATATTACGATGAGTAATACCTTTCTGTACACTTCGTTATATTAAAATTGATAAATAATATCTACTATTAAAATATAAGAAAAACTTCTATTTAATTAATAAATAAAATAACTAATAATAATTTGCCAAATGCATTGGAAGGTGAAAGCTGATGAAATTCCACTATTGGTTGTCAGTTTCTATCTAAACTTTAATGTTTTTAATTTTCAATTAAATTACTTACTAAAAAAAAAAAAGAAGGAAATTAGAAAGTTCATAGGATATAACATGATAGAATAGTGTTCAACCAGAATGATTCCATTACTATTCCATACTTAAAAAAAAAAACTATTGGGATGACAGATGACTTTTCAATACTTATTAATTTAAAAAATGTTTTGGTTCTTTTACTGTATCATATTACTGTATTTAGATAATAAAGTAGTTCATATAAACACTAAGTTATGATTGCATGCAATGCTGATGATACTCTTCATTGTTCATAGGAGTATTGATCCACTGCCCTGGTACCACTGGACATGGCTCGGTTTATCTTGAAAATACCGCAGGAGAAAAATTAAGAATAGTTATTGACAATTTCATGGATCTCAGAAAAAGAGAAGCTGAAAATGTTCGAGATATTCTGCATTTAGGAAATACAACAACCATAAATTTAACTCATCTTGAGGTATCAAATTAGCCAGCTATTATTTATTGGGCATTAATGTACTTATTACTAGGTCTTAAAGGAAAGGTTATTCTACAAAATTCCAACCTGTTTCTAGTCCAGATAGGAGGCCAAGATTTATTCCATGGGTGGACCATGAAATAAAAGCTACCCACACCAAGCTTCTTTTTTTCATTAAAAACTGCTAAGATGCTGGTTTAACAGACCTGACTTTGAATGTTTCATAAATGACTTAATGGATGGTCTCTTTTTTTTTAAATATTTGGAATATATTTACCACTTGAGATTTAGAAAATAGCGAGGGTAACATATATAATTTTTTTTATCCTGTGTATGGCATTGCTGTCATACGAGGTTTTCAGCCGTGATAGGTTGATATGTTGAGTTTTGCATATGTCTATTACTTCCAACAATTAACAATCTTATTTGGACTATTTCCTTCCCTCTTCATTCTACTTTAAAAATCATATTTACCAATTTTATTTTGTATAAATATGTTAAACACTACACTTGAATTTTCCATGATTTCTATTTTTTTTTTAATTTGTTTTAATTTACAGGGTGGTGTTCAGAACAATGTTGTTCCACCAGAACTAACTGTAGGATTTGATATAAGGATAGCTGCTGATGGTAACCATGAAAATATGGAAAAATGGATTAACGTAAGCAGAGCTTATAATAGTCTTGATACAGTAGTTAATGATTTTTGTGGACAAAACAACTGCAATCTAAATCACCTTCTTATGAATTCATTATAGATTGAAAAAAAATTATATCAAAAAAATTCAGTTATTCAAAATCATTAAAAATTCATAATCATGGCTTAAGAAAACGTTCAATTTCATAATAATTAAAACTAAAAAGAAAACAACAGTTTCATTATATTTAGGATTAATTTTAAGTAAGACAGAATTATTTTGTAATTTCAGGATGTCTGTAAAAAAGCTGGTGAAAGAGTGTATCCAGAATATATTCAAAAAGATGCACAAGTTTCATTAACACTATTAAACAATGAAAACCCATTTTGGAAAACTATGCAAACAGTTTTAGAAACCTTGTATGTATATAAAAAACCTAATTGTTTTTAATTAATATTATAACTGAAATCTAATAATATTGTCCTTTTTATTTTACTAGTTTAGCATATGTATAACTGTTTTAGATTTGTTAAGCAATATGATTTCTTGAAAATCAATATCAATCTATAGAGAATTTTGTTTTTTGATTTCTGTTGGTAAAATAAAACCATGAGCAAAAACCATAACTACATTATTATAATAAATTTGTAACTTCATAACCCCTAATTAATTATTCATTAACCTGATATCAAAAGTTTCACAAATTCACCATTCCAATTTTAGTGTTCGTAGGCACTGTAAAATAATGGAACATTATACTTAAGGGGTTACACTCCACCAAAACTGGAATAATCTCTTTGATGAGCAAAACCAGGGCCAAAACTGAGGGTAAAGGGGCATTTGTCCAGAGCACTAGCGGATCCAGGATTTAATTTTGGGATGAGCTTCAGCCCGAAACCTTTTTTTTTCATTAAAATAACGATAATTACTTTGGAAAAACAGAAAGAAACTAACTACCTATATGAAATGGTGTTTAATATTTTAACAATAATACTTTAAGAGGTATTTGTTAATTTTTTTTCCCATAAAACATGGTTATATTTTACTTTTACCATTTTGGTGGGGAGGTACTTCAGCCCGAAAGCCCTCCTCTCCTCCCCCTCCCCCTCTAGATTAGCCCAGGGTAGCAAAATATAGGGGATAGCAACCCTATATTTTGCTACCCTGGGCAAATGCCCCTTTACTTATTTTCAACAAAATTATATCTTTAGTTCAAATAAAAAAATATTTTTTCTACTTTTTGATAGTTTTGAACTGAATTCAATCAGTAAAATGAGTTTTATGCTATAGTATGTTGATATTTATTTTGAAATACTGTTATTAAGCTTTTGATTTTTTTGGAAAGGAGGTGGGTAGATGAGTGAAAGAAGGGATGGCCAAATTATGCTTCTTTTTCAAGAAAAAAAAATCTTATTATGGCCTTGGCAAAAACTATTCAAATTATCAACTTAGAAATGGCTGCTACATAATAGGTGAAAGTTTTTTCTGGAAGTTGGGAACAAAAATGTTATTCTAATTTTGTAATAATGTTATGTACGGAAGTAAAAAGTTGCTAAATTAAGTACAAAACTAAGCAAAACTCTACTTGCTTTTATAGATTCATGCACCAGAAATATTGTAGTAATATATTTTTAATCATTTTGAATTTTTATAGGGGTTTAAAGTATTTTGTAATGAGCTGTCCTGGAGCAACAGATGCTAGATTTGCCAGAGAAGTACGTATAAAGTATTTAATTTAAACTTAATAATGAATTTACCAAACTGTCTAATTTTGAAAGATTTTTATATAAAAAATAATGAAAGTGTTTATAAAATTTGATGATGTACTCCAAATTTTATTTACAAATATTTATTGGGTTTCACTCGACATTAATTAGGTCCATTCTAGAAACACCTGAGGATGGCTGCTTGACAGCTAAAAAGTAATTCAAATAATGTTTCTAAATTTGTAAAGTGTTTTTTAATCTCATGAGCTATTAATGATAATTATTATTATTTATTAAAAATTACAAAATTTTCATTAGATAACAAGTATATATGATAATATTTAAAAGGATAAAAAATGGCAAAACATAAGAAACAAAACCTTACTGAATCAGCTGATAAAATGGTAAAATAAAAAGCACATCCATGTGTGCATGTGTGTTTGCCTGCATTTGGTCCCTAAATGATAATAGCATATCTCACGTATAATATAACTTTTTTTTTAGGTTGGGGTGCCAGCAGTTGGATTTTCACCTTTTAATCATACACCCAGAAGAATCCATGCTGATGATGAATGCATGAATAAAGATATTTTCCTCAAAGGAATATCAATTTATGAACATTTGATAACCAATGTTGCAAATGTATAAGAAAAAATATGATAAAATATCATAGTCATAATTTTAATACCATGATTAAAATAATGGAAATAATCAAAAATCATCTTGTTGATCTGATCATCGATATTGAATCATTATTAGCATCTGAGTTGATATTATTGTACTAAGGAAGGGTTATAAAAATATATTAAAAAGCAAATTGAACTGAATATATATATATTTTTTTTTTATTTTTTACAGTACTAAAATTCATTTAATGAAATTATTTTAAAAATCATCAGAGAGAAGAATCATAGTAAAATGTGAAGAATATAAGAAAGAAAGAAAAAAAAGCAAAACAATAAAAGAGGGATTATAATTGGTAAATAGTCCCATTAAATTTAAGGAATTACCATATATTACGTTGTTACTTAAAATATAAGTGAAAGAAACAAATATTTAATGTAAAAAAAAAACGAATTTTATTAGAATATATTGAAAATTTAATGCTAAATGTCATTAAGTAACATTCAACAAAATTAAATCATTAATTAGAAGTCATTTTATGAATCTTCTTTTTGTAAAATAAATACACTTATCACTTAAAAACTATGATTGAAGTATAAAAATATAGTTTAGCTCCATCAAAAGTGTACTTGATAACATTTTTCAATAGATTGACAATATAAGGTATACATCTATCCACTAAATGGAGATTATAAGGTTAATTTTTTTTCAAAAAATCATCATTCAAGTGATCAATGCGAAAATTAATAGATAATTGACACCTATAGATTTAAGTGACAATTTGTAGTAAAGATGAGTAACATTAATTTATGTCTCAAATTTAGTACATCTGCACCACTGAGTTGTAATGTACATCTGCCAAATTGTAATGATTGATTTTTGTTCAATTGTTCAAGCTATATTTTTGTAGATTTTTATATATATAAATATTTTAGTATTAGTTTTATTTAAATATTTTGGTTTCATTTATGCCACTGGGCAAAAATAAGGTCAAATCAAACTTTCTCATGCCTGTCATTTCCTGTATCGCCAGCACATTTGCTGATTGTCAACAATAACTTTTTATAGAAAAAAAAGAAATCAAAACTGAAAACAGTTAAATAACTTCTTCTCATGATTTATATTTTTAGAGGCATACTTTGTAATTCATTGTTTGGTAAAATTTGAATTTACATGACCCAATAAAATACTAAGAATAATTATTTCATTAAAAGCCTTGGAGTTTTTTTTACAACCTCACTTCCTAGTGTATTAGTTCTCCTATAAGATAAGTATATTTTAATCAATCTATGTAAACTGAGTGAAGTTTTTTTCATTTTCAATTTTACTATTTGCCACTCACCCCCTACATAATAAGATATATTCCGGAGGTCTTCTAAGCACTGGTCCTCTTCTCTGGTCTCCAATGTTGAAGTGGGCCCACTGCCTTCTCACAGCCATAAATGAATTTCTTGAACCTTGGAAAGTCTTCCTGACTCATCAACTGAGGAAATTCATCTTCAGTAAGCATGTAAATTCTCATGGTTCTTATTAATGTGGCTCCAATCCCTTCAAAAACTGCTCGAGCATGTGACCCCCTTTTAGCAGCATCTTGAAATATTCTGTTCATATGTCAACTATATGTTCATTTAGCTATATAATGGATACTGAGTCATTTTAGCACTTCCTTTCTCTTTTGCTTGCTGTATTTTTCCAATTTTTGGGTTCAATTTTTCGTTTTTTCTCATTTTGAGACCAAATACTAAAAATCACTTCCAGTTACCTAGAAGAACTTGTAGCATCGATTTTTCCATCTTTCTTTGTGCAGTGAGAATAATGAGTTCAATATTAAAATTTCCTATTTGTTTATGATATGGCCTAACTTCCGAAGAAAATAAATTAACTTTCTATATTAGATATTGCTTTTTCTAAAATTCTCCGCTTTCCAATGATACATTGTAAGTATACCTTCCGACTAGTATTTCCGGAGATTCCTTTTCCACCTGGATAAGCATTTTTATATTTTTTTTGTCATTTATTAAATTATCAAATTCTTTGAAAAGTTATATTTAGCATTTTTTTGTAACTCCAAATAATGTAAGATGATTAATTATTTAAAATAAACCACATTAAAAGTACTTTAGAGGAGGACGTATATGAACATCGGGGCTTTAAGCCCTGCTAAGTGAAATCAATGGGGATAAGAACTAAATGATATTAAATACCACTTAATTATACAATGATACACCGAGTTTAATCAAAATCGTTAGAGCCGTTTTTGAGAAAAATGTGTTTCAGCGTTGATATAAAGTGGCACTTCCGGGTGGCCGATTTTAAGGAAAAAGTTGCTGTCACATCTAAGGCATATATATACCTATGTTAAATACGTAATATCAGTTTCGTACGAATTTTCGTTTTTGAGCCAGACTACTAATACACACACAGACACACAGACCATTTTGCGGGACTTGGTTATTTGAATACCTCAAAACGCGTATTTCTGTAGAAAACTCGGATTCAAACATTTTCACGATCGCAATACTTTCCCTTACTATATATTACATATATATAGGTAAGTGAAAGTAAAAGGTGTAATTCTAAGTATAAAGATTGAAAAGAACTATTTCAACAACAGAGGAGATATGAGAAAATAAGATAGTAAGCAGGTTTGAGAACTGTTTTCTTAGTCTTGTCTTACCTCACGACTGGAGAATGGACACCCTCGCTTTGCGAAATATGATTTAATATATGCACAGGAACTCTAACTTTATATTATTTGGATATTTTAACGAAAGAAAAGCAAATTTACGACTATTTCCGAACAATCAGTTGAAGATGATCCATTAATAGTTAATCGTCATAATACAAAATATGTAGCATTGAAAAACATAATGAGCAACTTTCTCTACAAAAATATGTAATTTATAGTAAAATTTTAGAATATAAAAAAATAAATTGTCCATGAAGATGGGCCGAGGACCAGAAACGTCGATGATGGGAAAAAAATTAAATAAAAATATACAAAAATGGAAGAGGTTAGATTCGCATAAAAAGTACAAACGTAAAAATTATAGCTTCAAAAACTGTAAAAAAATCTTCATTGTTCATAAAGTATAAAATTATAATCACAATGTTTATAAATATTTAAGCAAATAGACTGAGACAATCTGATGACAAACGAACGAGTTCGTAAGATTAACTTTTTATCTGTTATCTAACTGAAGTGTAGACAACGGGTGAAGGATATGTACCGTTAGAAATACTATGTCAGGAGTCAGCGAAAATAGTGCAGATGGCCGCAAAGGTAGTTCCTTAACTCTACACTACTCTCCTTCATCAAATAAAAAGTTATAAATTAATTAGGGTTGATTAGCCAGTTGTTTTCAGAATTATTTGGGAATACAAAGGAAAATCTTGATCGAGTCGCTTGATACACATGGCTAAGGATACAACCTATTTACACTGGTATTTAAAAAAAAATAATTGACTTATTATTTTTAAAATTTAAATATTTCCCTAAAGTATGCTTTGTATATTCTCACAACTTATTCTAATAAGACGAAAATGGGGAAAGTTTTAGAAAAAAATAATAAAAACTTTCTCATCCTGAAAAAAAGAACACCTTAATCTAGTGGGAGAGGAGGAAGGAAATTCAACTTACGAATCCTGTAATTATATGGTGAATATATGATACAATATATTATATATTGAACTATTGTAAGTTATATCAAACTATATTGAGAAGTCTTAATAGTTAATTTTTAAAAGTATAATTAGTATAAAATAACAATGAATGGATTTCGTTCTGAAAATCGTAATTAAGCACAAAACTTTTAAAACTGTGACAAAGTACTTTCACGTAATCTTAAATATAATTAAATGATAATAACACTGACGCAATCTCTGAATATATTTGTTATCATTTTCAGGCAGATAGCAGCACTCGTGAATCAACATCAAAATCAAACGATAAAATTAGATAGAACGCTTTAGTCATCAACAAACCTTCAGAATGGTAGAGGATGTTATCGAAACCTTCCGAGATTACTTAAAAATCCGGTCTGTTCACCCTGATCCTGATTACGGTGGGACTTTTTACAACATCATAAATATTTTTATTTCGTTTTCGTTCCTTAATATGATTTGATATTTTCTGGTTTTGTAGATGGATGTGTCGATTTTGTGAAGAATAAAGCAGACGAATATGGGTTCAAAACAAAAATTTTACGACTTGATGAAAAGCGTCCTGTGCTTATTGTAACTCTCGAAGGTTCAGAGCCAAGCCTTCCTTCTATTTTGCTCAACTCGCATACAGATGTGGTCCCAGTATTCGAAGTAAGGTTTGAAAGTTTACTTTTTTTTTTTAAATAGTTATTATTATTATTTTTAAAAAGAATTTCACACTGCTCAAACGGTAAATGGGGAAATAGATTATAAAATGAGATGAGATATTGGTATAGATGATCAAGAGAACAGCATTGATCATTCCTTCAAAAAATTTTCAATCCTCTTAAAAAAGTTAAGATTCGTTCTGCTTTCAATATAAAACAACAATAGGAAGGAATATTTCAAACTTCGTTTAAAAACTCATCTTTATGCTTTGTCTAACTCGCACACAGACGTGTTCCTATTATTTAAATTAAGATTTCAACTTTTTAAAATTTTATTTTATTTTTAAAATGTAGTAACGCATGTTTCTAAAGATAACGAATCTACTTTAAAAGACTGAAATTCATTCACTTTTCGATATAAAAACATTTATAGTGAAAGGAATTCCTTTAAAAAATATCCAAATTGGAAAGACCATTTTAAATTTTATATAGTTATATGTAAATGATTTTAATGATATTGTTTCATATGCTATGGTAATGATCTAGGTATTTTTTTTTCGGGTCAAATTTCCGATACCTGAGTCCGAAAAACACATTTTTAGCCATTTTAAATATTTTATTCAAGATCAATAATTTATAATGCTAAAATATGTATCGCTTTTTGGTACATATAAGTACGAACTAAAAAATGGAAGTTTTGTGAACACCTTAAATTGAAATTATTATAAATTTGATGCTCGGTGAATTATTGAAACCCAATGATTTCAACCCTTTATTACTTTCCTACCTATACTAGGTAAGGAAAGTATTGCGATCGGGTCAAATTTCTGATATGCAGTTTTCGACGGATCTATACGTTTCAGAGCTCTCTGAGTCCGAAAAACGCATTTTTAGCCATTGGTCAGTCTGTGTGTCTCTGCCAAGATTTAGTCGGGAATTAGCGGAGCGATTTTGTTGCTTCTTTTTTTATTTTGTAGGGCTTTGACTACTGATGCTTGTGACAAAAATTGAGTGCTTCATGCGCGATAGCTGCTGGGCAATAAATGAAAAACATGTTTTTCTACAGATTGTAGCGCGAAAACGGCTCTAACGATTTTGATGAAACTTTCCTATAATGTTCTAATAATTGTCCGTATAAATATAGGTATAGATATAGATATATATGGCAACTATAGAACAGAAACCTTTTCACTGAGATTTACCCACCGAATGTGCTAATTTATATCATTGACACATTGTAACAAATTTCTCGAAAATTTAATGGGTATGGAAAAGTCATTAATGGGTATATTATTTTGACTAAAATTATTTTATCAATTCAAATGATCCTTAATATAAGGTAGGGATTATCCTCATTGAAATAAAAATTTTAACAATGTCTTCCTCTAAAGTAACTAAAATTTAATTAAAATAAAATAGTGAAGTCTTCCATTGTTGGTAATAGTAATAAATGGCTAAGAATAAACATGATAAAAATATAATAATTTGATAATTTACAAAAGAAGAAAAAATTAGTAACATTTTCTCAGGTCGAAAATGAATTTCCGAAAATAAAAAAAATAATGTATTTATTAGGATAAATTATCGTTGGACAGCATGCACCTAAGTAAATGAATCATAAAAACCTTGAGTATGCAGGTAATGTTGCTTTTCTTGGAAGGAATCAAGAGTATATGAGACTTGTTAAGGCTCAGAATTGAGAAGCAGAGGTAATTGGCCTACAAGTAAATTAAGGTAAAATGAAATATATTATAGTAAGCCGGAAATTCTACCCCAACAATAGGATCTCCACAGAAGGGAAGTCGTTCCAAAAATAAACAGATTCAAATAACTTGGCTCCACGATAACCTCAATGAATGACCATCTGTCAGAAATAGAACAGCTTACAACAAGCGCAAGCAGACCTTTCATCTCTCTTTCAAAGGTATTGAAATCACGAAAAGTCTCTAGAAATCTCAAATTAAGAGAGTATGATGATATGGTAATGACATTCTGATGACAGCGAGACCAGAACACTAACCAGCACCATAGAAAGAAGTATTGAATGGGAAAATCAATTCATGGAGGAGAAGGACCAATAATGAACTGCTTGCAAAAACTGGTAAATCAAATATGTTATGATATAAAGCCGTGAATCTCCCATGAAATCTTTATCATTATAGAAATTGATTAGTCCATCAACAATTGATAGTTAGGAAACATTATTGCACATATGAATTTTGAATTATCAAGCTCACTAGGTTTTATTTTTCAAGTTAAGATTTCTATTTCTCAGAACATTTTTGTTTCACTTCACACATTTTTAACATAAATTTTACTTAATTTTACTTAATATTTTCAATTAAAATATATAAAAAGTCAATCCTCTGTCCAACACGGATGTCTGAATACTCAAAAGCTTGCATTATTTAAATTTTAATGAACAAGATAGTAATAACAGCGTAAATAACCATGGAAATATATGAATATTATAATTCAATTGCATAAGAATAGTATAAAAAATTTGAATAGAATAGAATATTAATTTACTTGTTTTGAAGGACATTTCTGAATTCGTATAAGCAATATTATAAGAAATAAGACATAATAATAATAATAATAATAAAAGGCTTAGCGAACCCGAAGGTTCAATGCCGACACCACCAATCGCTTATTACACACCTTCCTCCAGATCCCCAGTCCCTTCAGATCGGCTTTAATGCAATCCTCCCACCTTCGCTTCGGTCTACCCCTCGGACGCTTACCATTCGGCACAGCAAATATTAACCTTTTAGGAATTCTCTCGTTACTAAGTCCAACAACTTTACAAGCCCATTTGATTCGCCGCGATGAAATTACCTTAATTATATTACCCGGATACAGTTCACGCAATTCGACGTTGTGTAACCGTCTGAACTTGGTTAACTCATCCTTCTTCGGTCCGAATATTCTACGCAATGCTTTATTTTCAAAAACCTTAAGACGCTGCTCATCCCTTAATGTAAGCGGCCAAGTTTCGCATCCATAAAGAACTGTAGGCAAGATAATTGTTTTATAGATTCTAATTTTTATGTTCCGGGACAAGAGGCGCGAACTAAGTAGTTTTGTCACAGAAAAATAACAAGCATTTCCCGCCTTCAGTCTAACCTTAATCTCTTCTTCAATTTCGTTTTTGCTAGTTATCGTAGAACTTAGATACCTAAATTTCTCTACCTGTTCAAATATATTACCATCTATATCGATATCACCAGTAGTATCGCCTTTTTTGCAGCTAACCATATATTTTGTTTTATCCAGGTTTATTTCGAGTCCTAGTCATTATATTTATTTGTACAGAAATTTCCTTAGACAAATAAAATAAACTTTCTATCTATCTATTTCGAGTCCTAGTTCTTTACCGGCTTTCATTAATGTTGTCATAATTATTTTTATAGTTTCAACGTCTTCGCTTAACAATACCAGATGATCAGCATAGCCCAGTACGGATGTTGTCCCACCCATATCCAACACTTCCTTTGTACGTATTACTTCCCTAATGGAATGTTCTAACGCCAAATTGAACAGGACAGGCGAAAGGGAATCCACTTGTTATAAACTCGAACGCACCTCAACTTTTTTCGGACAGATTATTACCGATTCCAACTTTATTGAGTTTCTCCGTCAAGCACATCCTGACTAGATTTACTAGTTTTTTTGGAATTCTCTGATCGATTAGAATATTATACAGTTTCTGACGGTCAATAGAATCGTAAGCCTTTTTATAATCTATATACAGCTGGTGAAATATACCCTTGTACTCCAATTTTTTCTCTAATATTTGCCGTAAAAAAAATATTTCATCAATAGTCGAACAATTCCATCTAAATCCCGCATTGGTAGTCTCCGATAATTTCCTCGGCGTATTCCGTGATTCGACTGATTAAGATTAAAGTGAATATTTTATAACATACCGGAAGGAGTGAAATTCCTCGATAGTTATTATAATCCGTCCTCGGACCCTTTTTGTGAATCGGAATAAGAATAGATTCTTTCCATTTTTCAGGTAATTTCTCATTCACCCAGATCTTTCCAACCAACCGATGTATTTTAGAAACTCCAGCTTCCCCGTATGCCTTAATTAGTTCAGTAGGAATATTATCGGTTCCCGCTGCTTTATAAGATTTTAATTTTCCGATAGCTACATCAACTTCCTCTTTACTTGGTCCTTCTATTAACGGTTCAGCACTCTGGTACTCAGAAGGAGGACACAGATCATGATTTCCCGTATTTAAAATATTGTCAAAGTCGTCCTTAAACTTATTCAATATGTCAACTGGATCGGTCAGAATATTGTTATTATCATCCCTAATTCCAGACGTTACGGGCCCTACACAATTACGTAATCTGTTTATACCTTTGTACATGTCTCTTACGTTATTTTCGATTCTATTAGTTTCTATTTCAATTATTTTATTTTTAAGATACTCCCTTTATTTCTTTTTTTGAGCAATTTTGTCGTTTCGTTCTTTGAGGTTCGGAAGTATTCCAGATTGTCTTAGCTAGGATTATTTAGAGCTTTTAATTTAGCGACTTTTCTTTTTTCGCATATGTTTAAGCAATCTTCATCAAACCACGGTTTGTTATTCTTTTATTTTTTCCAAATTAAAATTCTCAAAATCGAAAAGATTTTCTTTTCTCTTTTTTATATTAAGTTTTTGTCGAAGTTTCGCGATTACTAATTAATATATATATATATATATTAGGATAATTACTTCATTCCGAAAACCCTACTCTTCCATCCCCCCCCCCTCTGTAGATCCGCCTGTGCAAGCAGCTGGTGAAAATTGTTCGTGATAACCTGAATCCAAGCTGAACATATATCTTTTTCCTTCAGATGAAAGGTTTTATTCATAACATATAACCTCACTTCCTCGGTACATGACTGCCTAAGTAACTTGACTTTTTGAATATGGACATTAACAATTGATAGTTATTGTTCTAAATTGAAAATTACGAATGATTTGATAAATGAAGTGTATTTTTAATTTAAAATTATCTCTATATCAATGGATAGGAAATGTTTTTTTCGGTTTTCTTCTGAGCATTAAAATTTGACTAATCCTTCGTACGAACATATGAAAATTCAACCTCAGATCCTATATGTGAAGCGAGGGGATCGGACTTGCGTAACCCAGTTATAGCCCCTGTAATGTATGGTTGCTTAGTTTCTTTTCCATTTTGCTTAATCCGTCGAAGCCGTGGAAACTTTTCTTCTGGCATCATGGAAAGCTTAGTCCATAAGTTAATTGTTTTAATAATAACTTTTTAATATATGGAAACGCTCTGTTTCCAATCTATTACATAATTGCATAATTAGGTGTTTATTTAGGAAAAATGCCAGGCCAGAGGAACAATGATTTAAAAAAAATTGATTGAATGGTTTCCATTACATATAATGTTAATGGAAATTCAATTAATTTTCTCTCGGACTGCTGTACAAACTCCGTATATTCTTACCACCTACATACTTCCTCATTATCCGTTCATACCTTACTGATACTTCTAAGTAAACATAATAATGCATGTTCATCCCTCTTTTCCCAGTCTACTGGTGTTCCTCAAAGGAGTATCCTGGGTCCTATCCTTTATATATTTCACAAAGCTAATTTCCCAACACATCCCAACACGGTCATCACCACCTATGCAGAAGACACTTTTATTTTATCTGTTAATAATAATTCAATTGTATCCCTAACCCTCCAATCACATATCACAAACCTTGAAGAATGGTGCCATAACTGGAGAATAAAAATAAATCCCATCAAATTACTTTTACCCTTCGTCGTGAACCTACAACTTCTTGTCCTACAATATCCTTCAATCATATTCCACTTGTTCCTGTTGAACAAATCCGCTACCTAGGACTCCACTTGGATAAATGCCTCACTTGGAATCCTTATACTAGCCTGAAATGACAGAAGCTGCTCGACGTTTTCGACTGCTCCAACACTTACCAGACAAACGTTCTAAACTTTCAATTAAATACAAAAGACTCATCTACTTAACTATAATAAGACCTATATGGACATACGGAGTTGAGCTTCTACCAAACCATCGAATTCCTATCGTATCCAATCCTTAGAATCTAAAATCCTTCGTAAAATCCTTAATGCCCCATATTTTGTCACAAATAAAACCATTCATGAAGACCTTTATGTCCCATATGCCGCTGATTTATCCCGAGCCTATTCTTTCGTAATAAACTCCCGTCCCATCCGAATCCACTTGTTTCCAGCCTTGCTTCTTCCTCGATTTCTTCTCACCTAGAATTAAATACGGAGCGCTACCACAGGGCGGGCAGTATCTCCTCAAGTCTGTTCATGTCATTATTTCTAATGTATGCATTTTTATTAATTGTATTGTTTATACAACTGTAAATTTCATTAAATAAATAATAATAAAAAATAAATTAATTTCCATGGATCCAATGGTAACATCCTATTCCCAAGTATCCCTCCTTTCTTTTCAGTTGATCTTCTTAACTTATGTACTCGAAATAGTAGATTTTTGCATGAAATACTCAGATTTTTTTTTTTAAGTGAAAATTTCTTTAGGCGCGTTTTGCATTTTTTTGGGAAGAGTGAATTAGATTGGTCCGTCAGATTTCGTTCGGCATTAACGCTCGGGTAAAATCGGCTAGAGTCGACTAATTCGAGTATTTCTACATATGGATTAAAATATCTCAGAAACTATAAATCGGGCATGCATACTGTAAGCGAGGAAATTATTCAGCATTTCATCCCCTCTGTTATAGGCTATAATTCGAAATTGTGTCTTAATGCGACGCCGTGTTAGGATGGCGAAAAGGAAAAAATAGTTTCGAAAGCCAAATAATAAAGATTTTATGCTAATAAATAGTACAAATACTAAAATGTTGTTACAAAATTGAATTTTTATTTAGACAATATTTTTAACAATATATAAAAAATAAGAAGAGAAATAATGTAAAAGTTAATAATAGCAGAAATTCTTAACCATAATGGAAAATATATAATAATATAACATTTCTCAACCTTCCAATTGGAGATTTGCACATAAATATTATAGAGTTATATTATATAACTTTCAATATTATATAACATAAATTAGTTAGCATCACTAATATAAATACTTAAATTACTAATCACTATGGACTTTTTTTAGATTGGCCTTGCTTTGATGTCTATATTTAGTAAGAGAACTTTGTAATTAATTTTAAAAATTTCTTATCAAACTAATTACCCTGACTATAATACACCTATAATATATGCGTAAATAAAGTTACATAAAATTGACTCTCCACTTAGTCCTATCATCAATAATATCAATAGAGGAACTGAAAAAAATTGGCTAAATATCTCAATACCACAATCAATAACATAAAATCAGTTAGTAACTATTATGTAAAAAATTCACTGGAGGTGAAACAAATGCTTGAATGAATAAATAAAATAGACAACAGGTAAATATTGTTTGGTTTGTTTTGATGCAGAAAATGTATTTACCAATATCAACAGGAAAGATGTAATAAAAATAATTGAAAATATTGGGATGCAGTAGAACGGCATACCCAAATTAAAGGGTTTAATGGAAGATATGAATTAAAATATCTCAGAATTCAAAAATAAGATGGGCTTGAACCTGCATAATGTAACCTAGGGGATTGTTCAGCATTTCATCCCCTTTATAATTAGGTAATATTTAAATCGTGTGGTCTAAAGCACACGTTATATTTTTATTTATTTTTTTTTAAAACAAAATTGAGTTAACATTTTTATGATTAATAATTTGTGTGAGTCCAGGAGGAATGGAGCTATGATCCTTTTGGAGCCGAGATGGACAAGGAAGGAAACATCTACGCCAGAGGTACACAGGATATGAAATGTGTTAGCATTGCCCAGTTGGAGGCTTTGAGAAGGATTAAATTTTCTCAGGTCAAACTGAAGCGGACAGTGCATATGACCTTGGTACCAGGTAAATAATTTAATTACATAGAAGTTTATCAATATTAATTAATTGAAATATTAACAAATTAACAGAAAGAAAAAAAATCTGCGAAAATAGGGTCCAACTGATCTAAAAGTTAATTGTACTAGAAGTTAAAAGTAGTTTCAAAGTCTATGAATTTTAGTTGAGGTTTGGACAGAAATTAACAAGTTGTGGTTAAAGGTGTTTTTGCTCAAAAATTCTGTAATTTTTGTTTCGGAAAAAAGGATAACAAGAACACTAACCCTTTGATTAAGGATGCCCTAAATATATGCAAAAGTAGTCAAAGTTGCTTATTTCCTTTCGAGTCTTGATGAATTCTTCAAAAAATAAAGTTTCTTAAAAAACAAAATAATAAAAATGGAATCTAAGAAAATGAAAAACGTGTAGAAGACATGTATGTATAAAGATGATAAACTTTTTGAACAACGAAAGATTGGATTCTTGGGTGTAGTGTGCTATTTATTTTTTTTTTTCAGTTGGGCGCTGATTATAGACATCAATGATATTTATGATAATTATCATCGAATTTTCGTTATGGATCATGTTATTGTTAACAAATATTTTAAAGCTAAAAACAAAATGGAATCTTCGTTTTCAGTTTTTTAAAATGAGAAATAAGAAAGCAACTTTCTCATAGGGTTTTTATAACATTCCAACTTCAACTGATCTCATATTAAATGTTAATTTATTCCAAATCAAGTTGAAGGCCACGTGTTTTAAAAGAGAATTGTTAACAAAGTTGTTGTTAGTAAGTGCTTAAAAATTCAGTGGAATATGATGAGCATATGCGTTGTAATTAAAAAAAGAAAATGTGATTTTTTTTTATCCCCGTTCAAGAGGTACAACGTACTCTAACCACAGTTCGATAAATTCTAACTCGTCACAATTTCATGCTTAGGGCCCATATCCCACTTATTGTTTGATAGTAGTAGATGGAAATTGATATCTACTTAATCATTTTGATCAGAAAGTCGAGAAAAAAGGTGGCCTTCAAAAATATTGAGCCGTTTGGCGTGACCCACACCCCCAAATTTTCAAAATAAGGAGATTATTTTAAATTTTAAACGTCCCAATATTTTTGTAGGCCATCTTTTTTATCGATTTTTTTATGAATATATCTTACGATCCAAATAGAAAGCAAATGGGTATTTACAAGTTTTTGGTACTTAATTAAATAGACAAAGTTTGGCCTCTTCCAGATTGATAATGTCCTAATCCCAAGGGTTTTCATAAATAAAATAGTTGCATGTTACGATGAGATGAAACTATTTACGAAGTTTTAGGCGGATGTTAATAATTCGATAAAAAAGGATCTGTACCACGGACTACGAGTACTAAGTATTTTACTCAAATTGAGTCATTATTGAGAATTCAATCACTACTTCAGTTAATCGCTTAACATCAACTGAAGTAGTAATTAAACTCTTTGATACTCATTATTTGATTAAAATACTTGGTAATCAGTACTCTGACTAAAAGTAAACTTCCCTCCTACCTTTGCTAGAGTGAAAGCAATAATATAAGAATCTAAAATTCACTTATGTAATGCAATATGATATCCTTATCTTTTCTACTTTATCATTAAACACCGTCCTATTCTATTTGTCTATTACATTATACAATCACGAAAACGATCCCACAAAAATATTATAAAATACTCAAAACAAAAGTCTACCTTATATTCACAACTATCCAATCTTCACTGAACTGAGCTATTTCATATTAAATACTTAATTAAACTTTGTACCCATTCGTTTTGCTTTATTATGATATACCTAATCCCTGTAACATATTAAGTATATTGATTTTATTTTTTCATTAAATATTGGTTTGTTATTAGTTACCACCCCAATTATTTTGATTTTCATTGATTAAATATATTCTTAGAATTTACTGTTCAAGTTATAATTATGTTTTTCTAATTTGATTTTAATTTTAGTTCCGGTTTATCATTTTCAATAACGAACCATTTTATTTTAATCGAACGAAAAATTAAAAAATTTAATCCTTTCAAAATTTACGGTTTTGCGTTTTAGAAAATGTAGAACTCGAAAATCGAATTAAAAAATGTTATTTGATTTTCTTTTTAAATTTGGGATCAGGGTCAGAGGTCATCCCAGGACGATCCTCCTACCAAGACATTACTATCCATCCTATCCTTTCAAGATACTGATCCTTCAACGAAAAGAAAAAAAGTTATGAGGGGTGGTAAAATAAGATTTTCGGATAACTCGAAAAGTATACACTTTTTTGTCGTATAGTTATTTAAAATGTTACGAAATTTCCTAAGACAAATCGTTCAAATCGGACAATTTGGAGCAAAGATATGGTGTTGTAAATATTTTTCACATGTTCTACTGCAAAGCTTACATCCTTTATTTTGGTGTTGGATATTTTGAAAGTGTTAGATCAACTGTAGCAATATTGGCTATTTTTCTTGGAAATAATGTGAAAAAAATATTTACGCCACTAATTTTATTTATTTTCCTTTATGTTACAAAAAAAGGAATTTGGTGTATGTAGCACTTATGTTAATGCCCTCTAATGTGGAAGAATTTTCAATTATTGTTTGGAAATAATAAATCATGGCGTAATAATTTGCAGTTTTTTTTATTGTGTTCTTGAGCTTGTTTCATATTTTCATTTCAGAGGATTGCTCATTATTCTTGTTTTGAAAATATAATTTATGGAATATTTCCTGGTTATTTAAGTGAAATTTTTGTTTTTGTGTTTTACTGTGAAAGGCCAAAGCAATTGAATTATTGTCTGTGCTTCTTCCCATGTGCTGCCCGATTACAGTCTTATTTTTTTTTTTTTTTCTGAAATGAAAACTTAATTTAATTTGCTTTGCTTAAAATTTATAAATATTCGTTTGGCTTTCTTGTGGATTGATGTTCTTTCTCTATTTGATATGATTTTTTAAAAACTTTTGAAAGATCTGCATATTGTCGGCACCATGTTAAAGCAACTATTGTAAGCCTGTTTAACGTTGCATATGATAAGAACACATCATGTGAAGATACGGAAGACGAGACACCCTTTTCAGAAATCAGCGAGACCGACTCGCAATATTTTAAAAGGCGTACACTCCAAAAGCGTCTCCGAAACTTAGTTCCCGGATCGGGAAAAAACTCACCTGATAAAAAAAAAAAATCAAATAAGCAACTAGAACAAGATAAATCTCCACCGAGAACTAGGAGCAAATCTAATGCCACTCAATCAGAGCCAACTGCACCAAACACATCAGAAAGAAAAAACTCAATTCTAGAAAACAACTTATCTCACAAGACTCCGCAACTGCAAGATTTTTCTGATCCTGAGCCGCCGCCAATATTTGTTTTAAAAATTAAGAACTTTATGTCGTTTGGTCAACAAATTGCAGATTTGATCGGACAGCCAAATTTTCGATGTTTCTCGAGAGTGAACGACATTAAAATCAATACTAATTCTAGAGACAATTATAAAAAAGTGATCAATTTTTTAACAACCAATAACTACGACTTCCACTGTTACCAATTAAAACAAGAAAAGGCGTATCGAGTGGTCCTGAGAGGATTACATTCAACCACACCCATATCTGCTATCAAATCGGGCCTCGAAGAAATCGGTCATAATGTCAGGCACATAGCACCTGTACTACATCCTAGAGAAATATATCAGCTACCATTATTTTTTATAGACTTGGAACCAGCAAAAACCAATGTTGAAATATTCCAAGTTCAACGATTGGTTCACTCAATAGTCCGTTTTGAGGAACCGAAACAGAAGCCTCTAATTGTACAAGGCACGAAGTGTCAAAACTTGGACCATACAAAGGCCTATTGTTATCACGAAGTCAGGTGCGTTAAATGTGCCGGCCTACACGCTTCAGACACTTGCCAGAAGCCAAGAGATAAGCCTGCGACGTGTGCTCTTTGTGGCGAAGCCCATCCTGCGAGCTACAGAGGCTGTAAAGTATATAAAAATCTTTACAAACAAAGATCACGAAACACAGCGGTGAAAAATCATGGATCTGCTCAGAAAACTTACACTGAGGCACCTGAAATTGAAAGTCAGGAAATGTTCACAGCATTGCCGACTTCACCTTCCCTCGTCATCCAACAACAACTATCCATCTCTACAGCTAAGCACTCACCTCACCAGAATCTCAGAAATTCTCACTCCCAGTCTTCCATCAGTAAGAAGCAACCTCAACGTCAGGCGCCTCAAGCCTTCCAATCCAAGCCTCAAATCCCTAATCCTCAGCCTCAACCTCCTCGTCAGCAAATCCCTCCTCATCATTTACCCTTAAGAGTCAAACTCACGCCAGAGCATCCACATCCTGCTCCATTCGTTCCTAATACCAGGATGAACCCCCCTCCACCAGTCCAACAGAATTTAGATCCTCCTCCTCGTACCCCACGACGGGCCCATCCCCCACCCAACATTCCTAGTCGCATAACCTACCCATCACAACCTCCTGATCCAAACCCACTTCCCAGCCAAACACCATCCGACATCAACACTATCCTATCTTCATTCCTGATAGATCTTCAACAGACTATCAAACCGCTCATAACCCTTCTAACCAGACTCCTTTCCGAAATCCCGCTTAGCTTCCCTCGATGAACTCAAAGCCCCTAGCTATTCTCTTATGGAACGCTAATGGACTGCAAAACCACCGTGACGAACTAGACATATTTTTCCATGACAATTATATTCACATTGCCCTAATAAAAGAAACTCACTTCACCCAACGGACACATTTCTACATACGTGAATACATTACCTATAGATCTGACCACCCGGACAACAATGCCCACGCCGGTTCTTGCATCCTTATCCATAAATCTTTACCCCATTCTCTTATTCCTTCCATTCCAACGGATGCCATTCAGTCAACTTCCGTAATCCTCTCAACTCGTCCTTTCCATCTAACACTTTCAGCTATATACTGTCCTCCTGGCAATTCCCTCTCGTATAGCCTACTTGAATCCTTATTACAATCCCTCGGATCTCGCTTTATTGCTGGAGAAGACTGCAATGCTAAACACCAACGATGGGGTTGTCGATCATCCAACTCCCGTGGTAATACCCTTTCACGAGTTTCTTCTCTAATCAACAATTATTCCATCCTCTCGCCCATGAATCCTACTTATTTTCCAACATCCCTCAAAAACGTCCCGATATCCTGGACATATTTATCACCTCCCAGATTTCCTCCTCCCAAACTATAATCAAATCCCTGGATGACCTTTCTTCAGACCCTAGTCCAGTTCTGCTTTCACTACATTCTGACTTTGCTCCTAAACCGTCACCTCCTAAACTGATCACTGGACGAGTAAACTGGGACAAATTTCGTGATGATTCGGAAAACAAACTAGACCTCAAAATTCCGCTAAAGATAAAAGAAGACATTAATGGTGCCATAGAAAAACTGACATCATCAATAACAGAGTATAAATAATAACACCTTTATCAATAAGATTAACAACCCACAAAATACTAACTTGCCACAGCATATTTGTATCTTATTAAAGGAAAAACGTAGAGCAAGATCGAAGTGGCATATGACTAGATACCCAACAGATAAATCGCATTACACCCAACGGACTAACAAACTGAAATCAGAAATTAGAAAATACAAAATTCAAAATTTACTAAATTTTACTAAAAAAACTTACAACCACTGACAAATCACTATGAATGACCACCAAAAAACTTCTCAAGTTTCAAGACTTTAATCACCCACTACTTACTGATACCCAAATCTGGTCCAAATCCGACGAAGAAAAAGCCCAAATATTTGGTCAACATCTCTTCCAAACTTTTAACCCACATCCTGATATCCTAAATTCAACTCATATCAATTGTATTGAAGCAGAACAGGATATTCCTTTCCAAATGTCCCTGCCACCCAAAGCATTTCATGCCATAGAAATATCCAACATGATTCAAAAATTATCCTCCCGTAAAGCTCCTGAACATGGCCTAATTACACCCCAGATCCTAGAACTTCTTTCTCGAAAAGCCATCCTATTCCTAACTTTCATATATAATGCTGCACTCCGTTCCACATATTTTCCTGATCCTTGGAAACGATCTATTGTTAAAATGATCCACAAACCCAAAAAATCACCAGAATACCTATCCTCTTACCGTCCTATCTCTCTTTTACCCACCATGGGAAAAATCCTAGAAAAACTCATCTTAAAACGCCTGTCCCCTATCCTAAATTCTAAACACATAATCCGAGATCACCAATTTGGTTTCCGCACTTCCAATTCCACTATACAGCAATGTCATCGTGTGGTAGACGTAGTCTCCTCTGCATTGGAGGGCGGAATATACTGTACGGGAGTCTTTCTCGACGTTGAACAGGCGTTTGATAGAGTTTGGCACCCGGGACTGCTGTAAAAACTCCGAAAATTCCTACCACCTACATACTTCCTCATTATCCGTTCCTACCTTACTGATAGATACTTTAAAGTAAATCACAAAAGCGCCTATTCATCCCTTTTTTCCCAGCCCACTGGAGTTCCTCAAGGTAGTATCCTAAGTCCTATCCTCTATACAGTTTATATAGCTGACATCCCTACATATCCCAACACTGTCATCACCACATATGCCGATGACACATGTATCCTATCAGTAAATAATGATCCATCAATTGCATCCCAAATGCTTCAATCACACATCATAAATCTTGAAGAATGGTGTCAAAACGGGAGAATTAAAATAAACTCCAATAAATCCCATCAAATTACCTTTACCCTTCATCGTAAACCCACGACTGCCTGTCCTACAGTTTCCTTTAACAATACTCCACTTATTCCTGTTAAGCAAATCCGATACCTAGGACTCCACCTGGACAAGGGATGGAATCCTCATACTAGACTGAAACGACAAGAAACCGCTCGACGTTTCCGATTACTTCAGCACTTACTTGACAAACGCTCTAAACTTTCATTAATTACAAAAGACTTATATACTTGACTATAATAAGACCTATTTGGACTTACGGGGTTGAGGTATGGGACTCCACTAAACCATCGAATTCCTCTCGCATCCAATCCTTACAATCCAAAATCCTTCGTAAAATCCTCAATGCTCCTTACTTTGTCACTAATAAAATTATTCATAAAGATCTTAATATTCCTCATGTTTCAGATCTGGCCCAATCCAGATACCTATCCTTCCATAATAAACTTCAGAATCACCCCAACCCTCTCGTTTTTAACCTTGCTTCCTCTTCAATTCCTGATAACCCTCCGAGGCGTCTAAAAAGAAGATGGTCCTGTGATCTCCTAATGTAGTCATATCATTAGAGTGCTAACATTGGGTAGTTACTCAGCAAGTGTATTCATGTCATTATATCTATTATGTCCAAATTTACTAGATGTATTATGTAATACAGTTGTAAATGCCATTAAGAAATAAAAAACAAAACAAAAAAAAAGTTGCATATTCGTTTAACATGGAGCTGATGGATGATATCTTAATAAAATTAAAAATGCTCCTTTCGTAGATTACTTTTAGTAAATAGATGGACACATCCTTCCTATATACATTTATTAATTGAACGTTATTTTTTGCAAATTTGTTAATATAAATTATATTTTTCAATTATTTAATTTAATTTAATTACTCACAATAAATGAGTGCTAAATTAGTCTCAAACACAAATACAAAATTTTCATGATTATATTATTTGCATTTCAGATGAAGAAATCGGTGGCCATAAGGGAATGGCGAAATTCGTTCAGACTCAAACTTTTAAGGACTTAAATGTTGGCTTCGATATCGATGAAGGGTGTTGTGCTCCAGCTGAAGATTTCATTGTTTTCAATAACGAAAGATGTTCATGGGGTAAATATATAAATTAAATATAATTTGAAGTAATAATGCTAACTTTGGGTGCACTGTTTATATAGAATTGTGAAATGGCGGAAGAGATATTTAATTTTGAGTTTATAAAACTAATTACCAATAGGACACCACGAGGGTCGACATTTTTTTCCGGGACCACTGAGAAATACATATTAACTGAAGCAGATGGGAATCGAATCCATAACGTTCAGAACCAGGAACTCTTCACTCCAACCTCGGCTAACGCGGCTGGTCTAAGGTTGTCTTTGAAACAATATTCAATACGTAAAACTTCGCATTGCTAGTCTAGGTGGACTCTCAGCAGTAAAGTAGCTTTTTATAATTTTAAATATCGATAATAATTTTTCGTTGAAAGGGTGCCTTTACCCCCAAGTCGATTGTTCGTTGATCTCGACACACCTATTTTTTGTTTAAAGGAAGGAGATAGTCCGGGCGGAGGGAGGGGGGGATAGCGGTCATCAATAGGCTAAATAGTTGTAAAACTATTTTATTAACGACCTTAATGTTCCTTAAGTGTCTGACCTGGCCCAATCCAGATACCTATCTTTCCATAACAAACTTTGGAACAATCCTAGTCTTGCTTCCTCTTCGATTTTTTTTTTTTTTTTTTTATTTAAATAAAATGGCCTATTGTAAATACATTTTTAGAGTGGTACCAGTGGGTAGTTTCCAAACAAATGGTTACATGTTATCCTTGTGTTCACATTTACTGAATGTATTTTTATTTCAAATACAGTTGTAAATATCATAAATTAAAAAAATACAATTTTTTTGCGAGGATTCAGGAATATAGGTGCGATAATTAAACGCTGTAAATAATTAAAGACTTGGATTTTGGGTAAAAATTACTTTTTTTTTTCATTTGGCGCTGCAGACCATTAAGATCTTTGACCCCGAGATGTGGCCTCCTAGTGAGTTGCCTCCAGTAGATTGACAGCTCTGTCATACCCAGGGATGGGGGGATCTCGGGCAGCGTGGCTTTCTCTGGTGGATGGTCACCCATCCAAGTTGTAACCACGCTCGGCGGCGTTGCTTAACTTTGATAACCGAAAGAAAGCGCCGCACGGCTACCCCCGCCCCTAATAACTGATTATATTGTTATATAATGCACTTTACTTAGTATTTGAAGACTAAATTAAAAATCCCTTTTGTCTAGTGATATATGAGAGTGGCTTGTGTAGTATCGTGAGCTTCTCGTGTCTACCATTAACCAAACTCCTCAATACATATTTCTTTAATTGGATGACAGTATAATCCATTTTAGGAAAATGTATCAGTTGTAGAAACTTTAAGAGAATTTTTCAACATTAATGTGAACTACAGCTTTAGTTCTGATAGTGGATCTTCAAAAATGGATTTAAATGAAAGCAAATTTAGTCTTTTATCGAAATATGTGCTCTGGATAGGCAGTTTGTATCATTTTTTATGTAAAAATTGGAAAGTCTGACACGTTTTTGTACCAGTCAGAGACACTTGGAAATTTCAAAGATACAGTAATAGACACTCATTTGTACCAGTTATAGACAGGCTCTTTTTTATAGAAAAAAATTATAAAGATAAACAAAATAAAATTACAACGTTTAAAAAATACATCCATACATATATATAAATATATATATATATATATATATATATATATATATATACAGGGAAATGCATTAATAGGATAATAAATAATACGTTTGCCTTTTTTCTCTTTTACTCTTCTGTTTTTAAACCTGGCCAAGGCTTTCCGATAATGATATTCTTGCCACATTTTGGATTTGACTACATTTGGTATTATCTCTCTAGATTTTTTTTTACTTAGTTTTTTGAGATACCGGCCAGAACTCTTCTGAATTGACTTAATAATAAGTTTGTACCTCTATTTAGTTTACAATTGTATGCAACTTTTTGTGATTGCATGCTTATCATTAAACATTAACGTAAAATAAATTTCATAAACTTAACCGAAGTATTACTGAAGGATTTATAATTTTTATCGATGAATCAGACGGCCTGAGATTTCAAAAAAATATTATAATTACTAGTGCCTGCGATCAGAATTTAAAAAAAATTCCTGGAATAGTATTTTTTACTATTTACGAACCAATCAATGTTAAAAACGAAATGAAACTAATGAAATGATTCAGTATTAGACATGGATGTATATTACTAGATCTATTGCTTAAATGCTGTTCCAGTTATAGATATTCAAGTTTAGAGGTTAATGGGTAATTTTATAAAATTTAAACCAATGAAAATTAATTCTGCACTATTTTTAAATCAAGAAATAGAAAAGTAATATCTAATAAACTTTTTTTTTGTATCTGTTTATTGAGTAATAATACATTTTGCCATACTTCTAATAAACTAAACTTATTCCAAATTATGCATACAATTTCAAACTTACCTCCAAAAGAAAAGTGATAAGACAGTTCCTATGTGACAAACTCAAAGTCCTGTTTTATCAAAAAATAAACTGCCAAACGGCCATTAAAGCATGAAATAAGCTGTTGTTCACATATAACCTTTCTGAGTGTGTCAGCTCAAAATCCAATTTGTGCTTAAATTCTCTAAACAGCTCATTAAACGTTCATGAATTTAAAAGTTTCTCTTACTGGTAAATTTATCTTAAATGTAAAACATGAATAACTTTTCGAGCCTTATTGTTTGTTTTAAATAGGAGTAATAATTCACTGCCCTGGTTCCACTGGACACGGCTCACTCCCTCTTGAAAATACAGCAGGAGAAAAATTACGAATAGTAATTGACAATTTCATGGATCGCAGAGAAGATGAAGCAAAGAATTATCAAGGAGTCCTGCATTTAGGAGATATAACAACAATAAATTTAACTCGACTTGAGGTATTTTATAAACCTATTAATGACATACTTTTATGCCTCTATTGGAAAGCTATATGAGTACCTTTAGATTTAGAAAGTCCTAGTCCGCTGGTGTTCCTCAAGGTAGTAACCTAGGCCCTATCCTCTATACAGTTTATACAGCTGACATCCCTACCTATCCCAACACTCTCATCACCACATATGCCGATGACACATGTATCCTATCAGTAAATAATGACCTAGCAATTGCATCCCAAATGCTTCAATCACACATCATAAATCTAGAAGAATGGTGTCAAAACTGGAGAATTAAAATAAACTCTAATAAATTCCACCAAATTACCTTTACCCTTCGTCGTAAACCAACAACTTCATGACCTACAGTTTCCTTTAACAATACTCCACTTATCCCTGTTGAACAAATCCGATACCTAGGACTCCAACTGGACAAACGACTAACTTGGAATCCTCATACTAAACTGAAACGACAAGAAACCGCTCGACGTTTCCGATTACTTCAGCACTTACTAGACAAACGCTCTAATCTTCCAATCAATTACAAAAGACTCATATACTTGACTATAATAAGGTCTATTTGGACTTACGGAGTTGAGCTATAGGGCTCCATTAACCATCGAATTCCTCTCGTATCCAATCCTTACAATCCAAAATCCTTCGTAAAATTCTCAATGCTCCTTACTTTTGTCACTAATAAAATAATCCATAAAGACCTCAATGTTCCTTATGTTTCCGATTTGGCCCAATCCAGATACCTATCCTTCCATAATAAACTTCATATCCATCCGAATCCTCTCGTTTCTAACCTTGCTTCCTCTTCGATTCCTGATAACCCTCCGAGGCGTCTGAAAAGAAGATGGCCTCGTGATCTTCTCATGTAGACAAATTATTAGAGTGCTATCAGTGGGTAGTTCCTCAACAAGCGTGTTTCATGTGATAATATTTCTCTGTACACATTTACTTGATGTATTCATACTAATACAGTTGTAAATATCATAATAAAAGTTTAAAAAAAAAAAATATTATGATCGCGATTTAACTTTTTTGGCAGAACAATATTTAAGAAGAAGAGTGCAATACAATTTCTTGAGAGAAGAAGTTATGTGCCATCGACCTCGGGAGGACTTCCTTGAGAAATTCCTCGAGTCTAAAATACTTATTTTCAGCCAATGGTTTGTGTATCTGAGCCAATATTATCTCATAAAAGATTATACCAAAATAATGTTGCTCCTTTCTTTTATATTGAAGGATTTCGGTTCCGATGCATACAAACCATAATAAATTCTTCAAAATCCAACTATCGGTAGTAACATTTGTACACGTTTTGTTTCCTGAAGTAAATCAAGTTCAAATTTGTGTATACTACTGCAAATCATCTCTCATTTTGAAATCAATTAAATTGTTACAGTATTAATTTATTAAATATTATATTTGTATGTTACTGAATTATTTCCTTTTTGTTTACAGGGTGGTCTTCAAAATAATGTTATACCCCCCGAATTAATTGTTGGTTTTGACATAAGGATAGCTGCAGACGGCAACCATGAAGAATTGGAAAAATGGATATATGTAATTAGAATCTTTAATCAATCTTGATACAGTAATAAATGATTTTAGTTTGAAAAAATACTCAATTTAAACCACGTGAATCAGAGTGAATTATTAAAAATCTGGTGCACGCAACACACAACTTTCACTTACTGCTCAACTTCCAATAGAAATTATTTTCTGGCCATGTTGGGCTATTATAAAATTTTTGAATTGTATTTTTAACCGAACTAAAGCTAAAAGATTACAGCTAACAAATCTAAAATACCATTAAAATAACAAAAGATCAGTTGATTATGGATTGTACGATCCGTTGATTGTGGATTGTACAATTATTATTTATTAAACTGTCATTTTGCATTGCAAAGTTTACTAAAACGGAATTAAGAAATTTGCATAGTCTGTCATAGAAAGTTCCAAAGTTGTCACACTAATTGTAAGTGGATACTGTTGGAATATCGCAAAGAGAAAATCCATCAAATTATTCATTAATTTAATTTTCTAAAAAGTTTACATTTAGTAAGAAAATTTCAATTCATTTATTTGAAAACATCTGATTTACGTTAAATAAAGTTAAATAAAAAAATATAAATAATAATTTCTAAAAACTATTTTTTTCGTCACTCTCCATTACCTTCTACAACTTTTTATATTATATATATCTATATTAATTCTTCGCTTTCAAACGGTATATTTTGTATCTATATATCGTATACCTTCTGACTATTATTTGCGAATATTCATTTTCATTCTGGATAAGTATTTTTCTTTTTTTCTCCTTTGTTTAGTTACCAAATTCATCCAAAAGTTATATTTAGAATTTTAACATTACTCCTAACAATGATAAATAGTCACTATTTATAATAAACCAAATTAAAGATACTTTAGAGGAAGACGTATATAAACAAGACATAAATGATATTAAAGACGACTTAATTATACAATGATGCACCGAGTTTCATCAAAATCGTTTGAGTCGTTTTTGAAAAAATTGTAAAAATGTGTTTCAGCATTGATATAAAGTGGCACTTCCGGTTAGCCGATTTTAAGGAAAAAGTTGCTAGAACATCTAGGGCATATACCTATCTTAAATAAGTAATATCAGTTTTGTACGACTTTTTGTTTTCGAGCTAGAGTGTTCTCATACACACAGACTCAGACACACAGACCATTTTTCGGGACTTGGTTATTTGGACTCAGAGTACCTCAAAACGTGTATTTCCGTTGAAAACTCAGACTTCAAAATTTTTAAGATCGCGATACTTACCCTTACTATATATTACCTATATAGGTAAGTGAAAGTAAAAAATAATTATTACTTAGTGTTATTTATTTATTGTAAAATGAAAACATAAATGCTTGAAATGAAATTAAAAATTTTTAACGATAAACAAAACATCTGGAATTAAGAGCAGAATAAAAACATGCAATAATTTTAATAATAAATAATGCGTTTATTGCTATAATTTTAGGATGTCTGTAAAAAAGCTGGAGAAGGAGTTTATCCAGAATTTATTCATAAAAATCCAAAAGTTCCAACAACGCTTTTAACCAATGAAAGCCCATATTGGTCAGCAATGGAGTCAACACTGAAAGATCTGTAAGAACATATTCTTACAACTACTTCTTTTAGTTGTATTTTAATTGATTTCATTTATAGCTAAGGCATAAACCCAAATCTATCATTTTATCAATTAATGATGGCAGCGAAAAGTCTTCGATTCAGAAATTATTTATTCTACTATTTTATAATGTTTTGTTTGCCATCCATTACGACTATTAACCATATACAAGCTCACAGAAATATTCATACTATAAATCTTACTAAAAGGGTGATTGATTTTAGATACCATTAATTTTATTCTGTTATAATTTTATTTTATTGGTTAATATTAGTTTATGATTAATAACAACTTTTTTTTTAAATGTCATATAACAGTTTGAATTACAGTCTCTTAAAATATTATATTCGTTCTATAAATTCAAAATAGCCATCACATCATCATTTTGAAATATATGATTTGATTTGATTTTTATGGCATTTAACATTCTTACGAACTTCTTGAGAATCCAAATTAATCTTGCTGTTTGTACTCAATAATTTTAGTTAATCTGTAAGGAAAGGTGCGGTTAGATTTATCAGAACGGTGCTTAGTGTTAAATATGTGATTGGCACAAAATTATATCCTCACTCTTGAATTTTAAGAATTAGTGATATAAATTTAATTTTTAATAATAGAAGTTTTTTTCAAATTTAATAATTGAATTTTAGTATTTAGTTTAAATCGGTATCTACTAGGGCAGGATGAATATCATTGATTACTCTTTACAAGTTTTACCTAGATGCTTCTCTGATAGGTATCAACTACAATATTATTCAACTACAAAATTATTACGTTCAATAGTAATGAAATGTGTTCACCTGACAGTTTCTGATTATTAACAAGCATTTAACAGAATTTACTCTTTTGGCCATATCTGTATATAGATACATAGACTAGTGAGAACATCTTTAATGTATTGTTACAGATTGTGTATAGTATTTGATTTTTTCTAATACGTGTTTTGATTATCAGCAAACTGCAGTTTTTCTGTTCCAAAACCATACACTGCGCAAGCGATTGAAGTTTGCTGATATTTAAAACTCGTTTAGGAATAGATCTAATATTTCACAGTCATAAAAACCACCTTCATTTTAAAAAAAATCAACCAATCAATAATTTTATTGTCTCAGGTAATTGGTAATATTATCACGATACCCATTTTACTGATTGTACGAATTGTTGCAGGGGTTTAAAGTATTGTACACTCAACTGTCCTGGAGGGACAGATGCCAGATTTGTCAGAGGGGTATGTATAAAGCAAATTACATTCTTAGCTGTATTTAAAGTACCGTAGTAATTATCCAAACTACGATTATTATTGGATGTGGTCCGTCCATAGCAATATTGGTGATGGCTAGCTCGTCAACGAACTAGTTCAAATAGACAAGATCACGAAAAGGAACTGTGAAGAACGGTCTTACTATTGCTGAACTATAGTTCTTCGTGAACTATTGCAAAAATAAAATTAAAGGAATCGTAGGTGTTTTCTTTAGGAAATGTAAAGAGAAGGCCAAGAAGTATGGTCCTTACACTGAAATAGGGATTAAAAAAAGATTTTATTTTCTTGTATAAATAATTTTTGATTATTGTATGTTTAATATTAGATAAGTTAAAATACTTAAACATAAGTCAATAACAGACTAATTTTGAAACATATTAATATTTCAAACGATGAAGACAGAAAAGTTTCGTTCCTTTTATTTATTAAAATTCTAAACATGCGCCAAAAATAGATAATTAATTATGAACTTTATTAAATAATTTCGATAAGAAGTCAAATATACTGATTGTTATTACAGAAAATATATTAAAATTGGAGCAGAGGATCTCACATATTTAGTACCATCTACTGTAACACGATAGTACTAGATCTAGTACCATATGTGTTAATTTAGATAGCGCTGAAATCGGAGTGAACTAATGAACTATTTCAATAAGGTGAACTGAACTAAAGAGATTAGTTCCGTAAAAAGAACGATTTTGCCCATCATTGAGCATTATATGTCGTCCTCTAGGACGGCGTCCGGTAGACCTAGCCTCAAAAAACTTCTTTGGGTCACGGTCCTCATCCATTCTGCATAGATGACCAAGCCATCCCAACTGCCTCTTTACAACTTTTTCCCTCAAAGCTGGTCTAAGAAGAGTCTTATATAAACACATTTTTATGTGACTTGATAGCAGTGATGATCTGATTCTTTTGTTGTTGTTTTTTAAAATATATTTGTACGAAATATTTTTATTAAATTCTTAGAGAAAGTAGTTTTATTTCGTTCACTGATATTCGGATAATTAGTGATGTACTATACTTATGAACTACAAATTATCAAGTATAGTAATAATACTAGTATACAGACAAGGTAACTAAATGATGTCTGAAACATTAAGAAGTTGTAACGGACTTCAAACTGTACAGAAAAGTTAGTTTAGTCAACGGTCTGATTCTGAATTGTGAAGGAGTAAATTTAAATTTAGATGGTATTTATTTTTGAGATTGTTTTGATTGGATAAGAAAGAATTGGTAAGCGATTAAAATTATTTAATTTCCATCTGCAACATTGTAAAGTATATAAAATTTTCTTTAAAAACTAGTAGGTTAATTTTTTTTTTAATCATCTTAAAAAGCTTTCAATTGACTAAATTACGTAAAGTTCTGTTTCTCGTAACATTATAGATTATCGCGAATTTATTTGTTTGAGCTTGTTTGAGAAGTGTATCATAGTTAAGTTTTTAGTAGACTTTTGACCAGGTTTTTGGTGCAAATGCCCCTTGAGGCGGCTGCTGTGTAAGAAACTTCAAAGTGTTTTTAATCAGCATTCGAATGAAATAATATAAAAATAAAAATGTTTGTATGTGCTGCCTTTCCCGTTTACGTAATATGTATAGAATATTTTGCTATTAAATTGGTAAATATACTGAAAAATTCCTGGAGCTGGCTTCCCAATGTGGGATTGGAGAGCAAGCGTTCGATTAATTCAGTTCATGTAATATGCTTTCGACAGTTGAATGAGAAATATGAAGTTATAGAGCTGAAAAATATATTAAAAAAAAATAAAAAAAATAAAATAAAACATTAATACTAGCATAGCGCTAATGCGCTGAATCAATAGGTAAACATCCAAAGGGCAGAGCGAGATGTTGTTGTTAGGTGTGTTACAGTGATGGATGTAATGTATCAGTGACTTCACTGTAAATCAAACACAGACAATTTCCATTTATTGTTCCTAATTACATTTGTATTCTTAAAAACTAAAAGAAATATATGACTCATTACCAAAAAGGTTAAATACTAAATCGATTTAGTATTTAACCCTTTAACAAAAAGTTAATACACTACAATGGACTTACATTGGGATTTGACAGAGTCGGTAAAAATACTTTTATATTTATAAGAGGCCTATGATGAACTCCGAACCAATCCGGCTGATTTATTCCTTTGTTATAAGTATTATTATTTATGCTTCAGTATTATTATATATGTTTATAATATTTTTATTGCAGCTTGGAATACCAGCAGTTGGTTTTTCGTCTTTTAATCTTACACCAATAAGACTCCACGCTAACGATGAGTTTCTGAATAAAAATATTTTTCTCACAGGCATTTCAATTTACGAAAAACTGATTAAAAACGTCGCAAATGTATAAGAAAGATGGGTAGGCATTAAATTTTTTATATATTTTTCTCACAGGCATTTATATTTATAAACAATTGATTTATAAGAAAGAAGGATATGGATTATTACATTGTACAGAGCAATTAATATATAATTTAAAATTAATTTGTTGTATATTTATTTATCCTATTTTGTATTCCTAAAATAATAAATATGCTAATCCTATGAAATAAAAACTATCTCTTTATTTATATCGCAACTTTCATTTACCACTTTTAATATAAAATAAATCGATAAACTTTATGAATACTAGTTGGCTCGTGCAAATAATTGCACTACATATTCATTAATTTGGCCAGTAAACAAATTAAAATATGAAACAAGTAAGGGTAATACACATATAATGTAAAGAAGGGATACTTTTTTATTTTATCCGTTGTTTACTGTTGATTTTTTTGAAAATAATAGAACAAAACATGATCACAAATTCCAATAGGCTTTATCATTGTTTCTTTTTCTTCTTTTTTTTTGTTTCATTAAATTTAACACAAATTGTATATTTTTTGAGCAAATAATGTTTTATATTTTTCATAACTTTTTCCTCACTTTTCTAGAAAATATAATTATTTGTCGGCATTGAAGGTGAAAATAATATTCAAAATGGTGACTCAATCATTATACTTTATGAAGAACTATGTTATTACAAAAGTCTTCGTGCATAAGTATATATTTATTTCCTATCACATATATATTTTTTTTAATCCTATTTATTGAAAAATATTACAATCTGTCTCAAGGACATTTATAATAGTGTTCACAGATCACATTCACACTCTAGTATTAGTACATATTTAAAAACATTATTGATACTACTTTCACCCATGTTTCTGTCAGTAATTGGATTTGGTTCTTGTACCGCTCCTTTGGTTTTGAAGCCATGATCTGATATATGGGCTATACTCAAGATGAGGCAAAAAGTTTACTGCTTGCAGAGCCGAAGTCTAACAAGAACAATGTGCAGGGACGTTGCCGTTTTGCAAAATGGCTTGGTTGATGGTACCTTGCACTCGAAACTGCATAAACTTGGCCTTGCTGTTCACAGATCAAGGTTTGAGTCCACTGCCCGACCCTCAGAAATAAACTTAAAGTGCAAAACCCCTTCGAATATTCGAAGGCTCGTATTACCATTGTTGAAACTTCTGAACCAAAGTGCGGCAGTATTTCGACGTGTAACTGACTTTCCTTCAACGGAACAAATTTCTTCAGCGCATAGAACTTTTTCCAGTAATAAACGACCGTGAATCACAAATTTTTCTTCTGACGTGCGTTTTAAAAATGTAAATGGCCCCATTAAGCCAACTCAAGTCCCAGGAAATTAAAGGATTAGTCAAAGTAAACATTGACATAAATAGTCGGAACAAAAACATTTTTATAGGATTATTTGTGCGAGTTGGAATTAAGGTTTGTTTTTATGCCCAAGGACGTTTGTAACAACCTAGTAATTAACAAAGATATGCCAAAACGACATAAAACTTCTTCGAGAAATAATTAACTCGGCCATTTTCAAGAAAAATATACCAACTAGGAATTTAATATAAGTTTGCCGAAAATGTATGTAAAAAATTAGACTTTTTGCTAGTAAATGTCTTTTAGCACCATCCTATAGATTGATTAAATTGATTTTTGTTCAAGCGAAACTTTTGGCCAGCATGCAGGAGTAATTTTAAAAATGAAATTTACCAATTAGGTTGTTCTCTGCGACGAAATTAAGTATGAAAAATTAAACTTCTTGCATCTAAAATATCTTGATCTATGCGATATAAATATACGTTTATAAAGAAAGTACATTAACGTATACATAAGCAAATGTATTTGACGGAATTAAAACCGAAATATTCAATTTAATATTGAACTGCAGACAAGTCTCCAAATTTTCTTTAACTTTAGACTTAATTGGAGTGTGGGATTTGATAAAATTCATATATGACTATCCTTATGTACCAACCGCTCAAACCTTGAAAATTTTATAGAAATTGGATAGACAAAAGTGGTAATATATTGTGTTGACTACAGACCGACATGGAAACAAATATGTTCCTTGGTGTCTAAAACGTAAAAGGCGAGTGAAATTATCCTTCTGGGAGCAATTTTTGTTTTTTTCCTAAAATAAATCTTCCCTATGTTAGAGCAGTATGGATGCAAAATTACAAGTTACATTCTCCAGAACTAGAGGTTAAATTGAGTTCTGCGCATGCGTTAGCCCAAGTTAAACATACGTCAGGTCGTCTCTTATAAAAATCTCATTTATCAGTGGCAGTATACAAGTTTAAAGTGAACAATTAGTGTTATCAGTTACATTAACAATTACGTTTGATACTGGACAAAAAAATAAGGTGAGTAATCACTTATTTACAACACAAGAGTGAACAGTGTAAATACACCTTAGGTTAGTTAGATAACGGCCAGCCACATACATCGTTAATCCTACTAGTGGGCTAGTTCCCTCCGTCGGAGGCAGATCTGTGCTCTCCAAGAGCGCGTCTATATTTTCGTGTTCAATAAAAAAAAATATTTTTTTTCTCGCTTCACTTTTATCAATTTTTCTTTTAAAAATTAATATGAAATGCGATATTATCACATTCTAATGTCGAGTAAGGGCAAAAACACCAGGTCCAGGAGCCTCGATACTACAATGAGTTCTCCTATTAAAAAAAAGACACGACATTCGAAAAGAAACACTCCACCAGCCACACCAGGGAGCTCCATAGAAGAAGTGGAACCCCAACCTGGTTCCTCACAACAACCCAACAATTATGAGACACTCAAGCTATGGGTGAAGAATCGCCGTTTTTCACTTCGAATCCATTTCAAGTGCTTTCAAATACACATAACCAACAAATGGAAGCAGCATCCACTCCCCGAGAATCCAAACCCCCACTAATTTGTTAGAAATATTAAAAATTTTCAATTGATGTGTCATCAATTGAATAATCTGGTAGGTTCAGGAAAATATTTATGCCAAAGCCGCACCAATGACACTAAGTTAATGACCGACACTCCAGAAACCTATAGAAAAATCATAAAATATTTATCTGACACCATGGCTGATTACCACACGTATCAACTGCGTCAAGAGAGGGCGCTCAGGGTCGTTATCAGAAGACTGCACCCATCTACGCCAACAGATGCTATAAAAGAAGAGCTCATGGGTATGGGATTCCATGTTCGCCAGATAGTGAACATATTCAAGGAGGGTAGAGAACAGCCTGGAATAAAAAATAAAATACCTCTTCCACTATTCTTCGTTGACCTTGACAGAACTCCCGATGTCGAAAACATCTACAAGGTCACACGCCTTTATTATACAAGCGTTGTTGTAGAAAAGCCCTACAGCAAGCGCGACATCGTTCAATGCCATAACTGCCAGACTTATGGCCATACGAAGCGGTATTGCCATCACATTCCTAGATGTGTGAGGTGTGGTGAGCAACACAAAACAGAGGATTGTAGGAAGTCTAGAACTTCACCTGCAATATGCGCTTTATGCCACCAAGGACACCCAGCCAACTACAAGGGTTGTCAAACATACAAAGATCTAAAAACACGAAGGTACGCAACGCCTATAGAAGAAGGGACATCCAGGCCAGCAAGACAACCCTCTAGAATAGTGAACGGAAGAGTGTCCTATGCTCAGATGTTCAAAGGAGACACTGTAAATACTCAATCTCAGGCCCTGCCACAAGAATCTAAACCTCAAGAATTCACACATCAACCTCAAGACCCATATCCCTCCATCCCCGAACGTAGGTTAAATACCCATACATTCATTCCTCCTCCTTCCAATTCCACTGACCTCACAAGCCTACTGACATCTTTACTTTCCGAATTTAGATCTCTCAGTACCCCTATTATTTCGCTACTTACCAATGTTATATCCAACCTCATTCCACTGCTAAAAAATCCATAAATGTCCTCAACCAAATTCCTCTCCATTCTGCTTTGGAATGCGAATGGTATTCGGAACCACAACAACGAACTGACAATCTTGTTACATGACAAAAACATCGACATAGCACTAATAACTGAAACTCGACTAACCAACAAACGACAAATTAACGTGCCCGGCTACAATATTTATCGAATTGACCATCCTGATGGAACAGCACATGGTGGCACTGCCATAATTATCCATCGATCTGTTTCCCATAATTTGTTTCCTTACCAAGTCATAATTTCCTACAATCCACAGCCGTAATAATCCAAACACCCCTTTACCCAATAACACTAGTTACGGCATATTCCCCGCCTAAAACACCCATTTCCGTATCCCAAATAATTTCCTTCCTGAATTCCTTAGGACACCACTTCCTCCTAGGTGCAGATCTAAATGCAAAACACCAGCAATGGGGAGCCAGGTCCACAAATTCCCGAGGGCGAATATTGCTATCTGCACTTAATTCCCATCGCAGCAACATCCTTTCACCTAATACACCCACATACTGGCCAACAGATCCCAACCGCAATCCCAACCTTCTAGACTTTTTCCTCCACAAAGGTCTAGGATCACTACACTGTTCTATTTCAAGGTTTGATGATCTTTCCTCAGACCATAGTCCTCTATTCCTAACCGTTTCCACATCTCTCATTCCCAAATCATCCCCACCTTCATTTATCAGGGGGCCAGTTAACTGGAACCTTTTCAGTCAAATACTGAAAGATAATATAGACCTCAGAGTTTCCTTAAAAACACCTGAAGACCTCAACGATGCAGTGCATTCCTTCACTACCATGATCCAGCAAGCAGCTTGGACTGCATCCTCACCTGATCGTCCCAAAAAACACCTCAGTATAAATCCTCTACCCCAAGACCTAATGGACCTAATCCATAGCAAACGTTGCTCTATGACCCTTTGGCAAAGAACAAGACATCCTGATGACCGGAAATCGTATAATTATTATTCCAAAGAGGTAAAAAAGATACTGGATACTTTTATAACCCAATCCTACAATTCCTACCTCTCCTCATTATCC